ATGCTCAAAATCTTGGAAAAGTCCTTAAAAATCCTAATTTAGGGTTTGATCCCATGGACAAGTTTTACATGAAGGAATTGATTTTGTTGCCCCAATTATCACATATTACCTTAAAAAAACCCCTAACATTCTGCAATAACTAGAAGATTTAATGAAAGTGTGACTTTTAAAAAAATCTTCCTGAGATAAGAAATTGAAAACATGCCATGGCTTTATATTTGTTGCTTTCAGGCTTATTGTTAAAGAACCTTATAAGAGGTATGGATAACAGCTACAAAATGTGTTTTGGTAATGTTTCTGTGTGTTTTGGTAATGATCAACACAGACTTGTTTTGTAAAGCAAATGAAGGTGTATCGTTTAGATAAATAGAACAGGAGTACTTGTGGCACCTTAGAGACTAACAAATTTAGATAAATGGCACTGTAGGTTCTAAGAGACCAGCGAAAAGGTGTTACTTAGTTTCTTCCATTTTGAAAGATTCTGTTGCTTTGCTGGTACTAATAATACCTTTTAAAAACAGAGGCGAGACAAGGTGGGTGAGATAATCTTTTTCTTGGACCAACTTCTGTTGATGAGAGAGACAAGCTTTTGAGCCACAGAGAGCTCTTCTTCAAGTCTGGGAAAGGTAGTCCCAGCATTACAGAGAGCTCTGTGTAGCTTGAAAGCTTGTCTCTCTCATCAACAGAAGTTGGTCCAAGAAAAGATATTATCTCACCTACCTTATCCCTCTAATATCCTGGGACAGAAACGGCTACAACTACACTGCATTTGAAAACAGAAGAAATGTTTAAAGTGCAGCCATTGTGTATATATTCTCCAACTCCTGGGAATTTTGCCAAGTTCTCCTTAAAGGAGACACTTTGGTTCTGGGGTGAACAGAGTTGAGCTAACTAAAAGAGGAAGACTCTTTTGATAACTGTATACCCATTTCTCCCCTGTGCCTGCCCCCCCTCCTCCAAATTAACTTCACTAAGTGTGGAAAATATAATGGATTGTCACATTTCTAAAGCACTTGCATTGTAGTGCACTGTACTCTGAACATGGAATTTCTTGTTCAAGGAATGCCCACAAAGGAAGAATAGCTGTCTTCCATTATCAACATTTAACTGGAAGGATCAGACTCCAAGTGGTGCAGGGGCAGTCCATTAACTTGGGAACACTTGGGAAGGAATATAAAACCTTATGTTTCATGGTTTAAACCAATCTTTAATGATTAGGGCAAGGCCTTCATGGGGGCAGCTTACTCCACGTATTGCTTATTGCCAGTGTTCTTGCACTGTCTTTTGGAGTATCTGATGCTGACCGCTGTTGGAGACAGGATACTGGGGTAAATGGACCACAGATCTGATCCTTTGTGGCAGTTCCTGTGTTCCTATGCAATGTGTCCTTAAGATGCCAAGACTTGGCTTTAGGGAGTGAGTTCCCCAATGATTCCACAGACAAAGCTCTGCGCTTGGGTCCTATGATGTATACCCTAGGTTCAGTCAGCCTATTCCTGTTGATTGCATCTCCAAAGTAGGGTTCAGAGAGCTGGTCTCTGAGATTACCAGGCCTCAGCCAATTTAGGGTTTAATGGAAGGGACTGAGGAGCCAAACTTTAAATTGGCTTCCAAGCCAGTGCTGGATCCAATGTAGAGTACAGAGTGCTGGTGAATGTGTCCTTGTCTCTGTCCTACTTGACAACTAAAGATGATCGTGTGAGGCATTCTGAAAAATCATGCACAATTATTTGCTTTTAAAAATGACACAAAAAACCCCATGTTTTCTTCACAGCAGGTTTTTTGAAGTCCTGCATATGGTAATGCCTTTGGGGTGATGGGAGGGAACTGTAACAGCTATATTCTAGCTTTGAGGTTCTCAAACTGGGAGTCGGGACCCCTTAGGGGGTCATAAGATTATTACTTGGGGGGTCACAAGCTGTCAGCCTCCATCCCAAATCGTGCTTTGCCTCCTGCATTTATAATGGTGTTAAATATGTACAAAGTGTTTTTAATTAATAAGGGGGGGGTCACACAGAGAGGCTTGCTACGTGAAAGGAGTCACCAGTGCAAAAGTTTGAGAACCACTATTCTAGCTCTTGTAATTGAAACTGGTAAATATAGGATTGATGGCAATTACCTTCACTCTTGTTCACTTTCTTGAGATGGTGCCTACAGTGAATGCATAATATAGTGGTTCTCCTCTCCATTCTGAGGTCTTAATGGATTTGAGTGTTGCTAATGGCCTCAAGTTAAGAATAGACAAGAGTTCAAGAACCATTCTTCTTGGTCATGATGAACTCTAGTTCACATCTACTAACTTTTTTCTTTTCTGGCTGTCCCAAAGTGAGGGGGGTTAGTTTTAATGGAAAGGGACTCTTTAATCTCAAGTAGTCACACATGGAAAAGATAGCATAAACCCACCTGTGCTGGTAGCATGAACTTTTGCTTTCATAAACCACATTGCTTAACATGTAACTTTTTCACGTGGACACTTAAAACTTATCTACAACTTTCTTTCCCTTCTACCCATTTTTTCTTTAAATAGTAGGATAGTTATCTAGTGAACATAGACTTTTAATGTCTAACACCTTTTTTGATTAACTATTCTCTTGTTTGTAGTATGTCAGTTTAGCATGGAATGGCTTGCTAATCAGTAACTATCTTATTTTCTTTGACATATAGCCCCTTTGATTTCTCTGTCAGTTGTCAGCTGACCTATTACTAAGTCATTCCATGACCAAAATTTCCTGGGAGCTCTTGAAATTTTTCTTATTCTGTTAGGGATTAAGGCAGCACATAACATCCTAGATTCTCTTAATTGTTTAAGAAATCTAGTTACAACAGTAGAATCTCCCACAGAAAGGTTTTAATTAAGACATTTAGACATTGTTTTTGACTGCCAGTTTACAAATCTTGCTTTTAACCATGTTTGATTCTTGGAAATTAAAAAAAAATTCTGAAAATGACTTTTTTGCATCTATGCAAAATCTTTCAGGGGAACACAATTTAAGCGATTTAAAAATGACTTGGTTTATTTTATGAAGTAGGTTTTGTGCAATTTGAGAACTAAAATTGTTAGATTCAGAACCATAGCCCATGCATTTGTTAAAGCTGCATAGGAAGTTGGAATTAAAACTGGATATTGAACAGAATCTATATTTTACAAAGGAGCAATGTAAAACATGTAATGTTAATATATTTTTACTGTTGCAATTTTGATGGTCAAAATTTAATTTTGGTTAAATAATGGATCTTGGTTTTAAATAAAAAAACTAATGGGAAACTGATGAATATGCCATGGTTTGTCACAGCATTTATAAGAAATCTATTCCTGTCAAGAATCATTTGAGAAAAATCCGGACTTTATCAAACTACATGATTAAAAAATGGTTGGTGGTATTTTTGACACTGGCAGTTTGTCATCTTAGTATTTTTGACAAACCGTTGAGTGAAACTTCTTGGGAGTTTGCTATGCTTGTCTCTTTAAAATCCAGCTAAGACAGCCAAGTTTCTGGGCTTTGGTTAAAAGACATCTAATTAGTTCATAAAGACATTCAAAATGAACATTACTTTGTCATAGTTAATCTTCAGCCATTGAAGGTAAGCTAATTGTCTATCCTATTGTCAAGGTATTGCAGCATGTTTGGTATGTAACAGGAGACAGTAATTAGAGGCTGTGAGAGTTTGTAGGCATAACAACAGAAGTGTGATAGTCTTATCTCTGAATTATTTTGTTCTGGTTTGTGAAAATACTAATTTTGTGAAACAACTCTCTGGATAGTCACCTCTGATGGCTTGCTATTAGAGCTTCCACTGAAATAATTCTGAGAGCTCCATAACAAGCCTCTCAGAGCCTTTTTGGTTGGCTTTTATTGAGGATTCTTTTGTAACTTGGGTTATTGACTGTTGGCTTCTGTGTAACTATTGTGCTCGCTCATTACAACTGACATGCACATGCCCAATGTTTTCTTTGAGTTGTGGGAGTAAAATGAATTGAGGTGGCTGAATCCAGGTCCTTAAATGTATTTGACTGTTGCTCTGCTCATCATTACAATACCTAACCCCTAGGTGGCCTGCTTCTAAGTGGAATTTTTAGCTTCAAGCTAGGTGCCTATCTTTTCCATATAATGCCTGGGGAGAGCTCAGTGCCTGATTAAGGGATTTTCAGAAGATGGACAGTTGAATGGGGAGCTTCGTGAGCTAGCCAGGAGTAATGCTGAGGAGCGGCTGACTTGGTGCACCTGTCTGATGGGCCTGAGATAGGCAACTCCTTCCACTTGGGATCCTCAACTGTGAACCCTCTCGTAGAGTTAGGTACCGAAGCCAGGTCAACTGATCCAGTATTCCATATCCTTGCAGCTGAAACCATATGTCTGTCTCCTACTCATGCTTGATTCCACTCTTGTGTTTGCTCTACATTTTTCTGTGCCCTCCCGTGTCTTTTGTGCAGGTCTCTGCTGCTTTTCCATCTATTGATGGCCTGCATCTTGGCTTCCTGAAGTGGGGGCTGGCAGGCAACAGTGTTAGGCATATTTAGAGCACACTTTTGAGATTGTTTAGTTTGAGAATCCAACTTTGGGGCCACCAGAGTTTTGGCTTGTTAACTGTGGGGTGGTATAAGTGCTAGTATCGGACTGGTGGGGGCTTAAGCATCTATGGATTTAGATAATAGCTGAACAGTGGCTTTGAAAGTGTCAATGGTGCCTAAATGGTGGATTTAGCCAACTAAAGAGTCAGACACAGGTCTAAGTCCATTTAAGGATTGGGGTCCTAGCCTATATATTTTCATTTAATACTTTGGTATTAAGGACTATCTTATTCCAGTATGAAACTAGGGTGGCATGGAGAAAATTGTAATTTAACCCAAGAACAATCTTTTTAGTTATGTAAGTTCTCTTTAAATTTTGAATATCTTTTGTCAAAGAAATGTTGATGTATCCAGAACTAAAATACAGGTGTTGCAATAAAATATTCAGTTTAAGAAAATCATTTTCTTTTTTTTTTTTTTTTTTTTTTAGTTCACATGAGAGATCCTAACAACCAGCTTCACGTAATTAAAAACTTGAAAATTGCTGTCAACAACATTATTACCCACTCACCTCAGCCAGGAGGCATTCGGAAACTTCTAAATGATGTTGTATCTGTCAGTCAACCAGCTGAAGGATTAGTAACTAATGTGATTACTGCAGGAGATTATGATCTCAACATTAGTGGTATGTAACAAGATTTATTCTGTGTATTTTTTTTATATTTTTCCACTATCTTAAATTGGAGTTTTCTACTTTTTCAAAACATTTACAGTGGTAGCTTATTTTTACTTAATACAGTTTCCTTGACGATTGAGTACTACTGCTAAATTATTAATATTGTGATGCTTATTTAAAGTACTTTGGTAGTACACATTAGAATTTTTACTCAATAACTTGTTTCATCATATGTAACTTGATTCCAAATGTTAATGTAATGCAGAAAACACTTGTTGATCAGATTTAATATATTAATTCCGTTGTGAATTGTTAATGGTGACAAAGAAAAGTTTTATCTATATTAAAAAAAAAAATCTTCCAATTATTTTGGGCAAATACTCTTCCATCAGATTTTATTGCCACCTTTCAAGTTTATAAAGCTGCCAACTACATTCTGAAATCAAATATTTAAGGCATTATGCACTGTTGTATTATAGAAAATTATTTTTTTTACTGAGTGTAATTGTAAGCATATAGTGTACTTGATCTGGGGCATCTAAATCTGTGAAAATAAGTCCATAACACTGCCACCATAATACTGTCATATTTTGAAGCTGTACCTAACTTTTTTTTTTTTCCTATACTCATCCTCACTAGATTGCCAACCCCAAGCTCTTAAAATCATGATTTTAAAAATAAACTTTGGGAAGCAGGGGGAATATTTGCTTGCCTTCTTGTTTTTGAGCCTTTAAGATTGACATGTGTAAATTCTTCGCTGCAGCTCTGATGGTTAGAAACAGTTTTAAATGAAAGTTTAAACTTTTTATATCATTGCCCAAAACTTCAGGAACTGAAGCATTAAGGAAAATACCAAATATCATGAGATGTGATTGGCAATTCTGAACTCCTCCAAGTTAAGGCCATAGTCCAGGAAAGTATTTGCTTAACTGCAAGCATGTTAGTATGAATATCCTATTGAACTACTTGTGTGCTTAAAAATTTCAGCATACACTGAAGTCCTTTGCTGGATTTAGGACCTTAGTGAGCCATTAATAGCTTCTGATATCTGCTTGTTATTGTGGTGTGTTTCTTTAGAATATCTGAAAATCAGCATTAATATTGTAGGGTGTCTTTCAGTTTTAAATAACTGAACCCTGTAACATGATATGAAATGTTGGTGATTAATCTCTTAAATTTCAGTGTTCCGGGGTAGTTTCTTGCAGAAACAATTAGTTTGTAGAGGCACTTTCACAGTTTCCATGTCTCTAGCTGCCTATAAAAGATGTTGCTTAAGTCTTCCTTACATAGTGAAAACCTTCAGAAATATGGAGATTTGGATGCATATGGAATTCCCATCTTGCATGTACCATAGTGCATTATTCATGAGAAGTCTCCCATAATCTTCTTCCAAACACTGCATTTTTTCAGGTTGAGTATATTGGAATACAACATTGGAATATCTGTTTTTCCTGTAATGCTGTAAATAGTGACCTGGGTCCAGTTATCTACGAATTTGAATAACTGTTACACACACACACACACACACACACACACACACACACCCACCCACCCACCCTCTGTTCTTCCTGTCAAAACTGAGTTTCGTGTTTCTAATCATCCTTGTCAGGAAGCCCCCTGACAATATATAGGGAGAGCCATATATTCTGGATGCATGAATCTGCCTCCCCTAGAATACTATCTTTAAACTGAATTTTATTACTTTTTTGGGCTCTTCTGTTTTACGGCACTCTGGGGAACTAGCAGTATACTGCCAGGATATATCTGCTCTTGCTGGCCAATGTAACTCTGTTGTATTGTGTTAGGGCATGACAGACTCCCTGATCTCTGTGCTGAAAGCTGTTAAGAAAAGTACTCAAAGTGGTGTTCCACAACCTTCTCCCTCAACAAGTAATATGAATGTTGTTTTTTTAATATTGCTGTGAGTTTAATTGCAAACCTGTGAGAGCCTGTGAAACTGCTTCTCGTGGCCATAGTAACTCTTTTTGGTGTGATAACCATAAAGTACTTTAGCCTCTTTTTTTTAATTAAGTTACTGTTCTTATTTGTAGTAGATGAAACTGTTCTTTATCAGTTTACCACAAGGTATGAAATTTCAATTATGTGGTGTTTTTAAAATCTTTTTATTAATAGCAAAGAACAAGGAAATGACCATCAGCTGCATTACAGCTTAAAAATGAAGAAACTTTATCCTGGAGAACTGTGATGCATTATACAATTTAGCTGACTTGTAACTAGTTCTGTTCATTACTCTTACTTAATCCCTTTTCTGTTACAGCTGTTGTCTTCATAATCTGAGAAATTTGGCAAAGGATTAGCTATTTAAGGTTATAGTCTCCTCTCTCTGGAAAAACTGACAAATAGAAATGTTTAATCCTTTTAATGTATGGTTCTGATTCTTTACGTGCAAACCCCAATGTCCATTGAAATCAATGGGAGTTTGGGGTGCACAAGAAATGAAGATCTCTGATAGCATATGGTGAAATGTCTAACTTTTGTAGTATGAAATACTTAGTTTTCAGGAGACAAATTGTTTCAGGCCCTGATGGCGGATGTGGTACAGTACTTTACTCTTTCACATTACCAAAACCTAAGAGCAGATAGTATATATGCACCTGACACTGGTTAGCTTAATAATATCATGTTTTCTCTATCAGATCGCTCAGTTAAAGCTAGTGTTCCTTGGTACAATAATTGGAAAGACACACTGATGGAACTGAACACATCCACGTTTTATTCAGGTATTTTTTTTTTGTGATTGGTGCGGGTTTGCCAAATTGCCCTTTATCTATTCCTTTTCCGTGTGCCTCGTCCACCTTTCCTTACCATCCTGCTGTAGCTGTTCAGCACTTTCTTTGGCATAGATGTGTGTAGTCCTCATTTTTTTCCAAAAATAAAAATTGTTGGTGATGGTTGTATGATTTTTCTTCTTTTATTATCCATGTTTCTACTCTTGCTGCTAATTAACAAATTATTTGTGGTCATTCCATAGGGTCACACTAAGTGCAAAGTGAACAGATAGATTTCTGATACACAAAAATTGGTTTCCCCCTGCCTTGTTTGGCCACATGGAATTGTACATTGTCAGACTGTTCTAGTATTTAAAATGAAAATACTTCCCTCTTTTATTCTTCTCAGTTATTCTATGTGAATAGTAGTATTGCTCATTTTATAACCTTAATAATAATAATAATGATCTACAGTAAAAGTTCCTTTATCCTATTGAAGTTTTCTGTGTGGATTTGATTCATTCTCAAGAGTACAAAACTTTATAAGAGCTCTTCTGTCTTAGTTAATAATTGTTGTTGCAAAGAAATGAGGTGGCTTTTACTTAGTTTGCTAATTTATAACATGACGTGCTGTTATAACTAAGGCTAAGGTTTTGTCAGGGATATTTTTAGTAAAAGTCATGGACAGGTCACGGGCAATAAAGAAAAATTCACGGAAGCCTGTGACCTGTCCATGACTTTTTTACTAAAAATATTCCTGACAAAATGGGGAGCCCAGCTGCAGGGTCTCCACACAGTCTGCAGAGGTTGGGCAGCTGCGGGGTGCCCTTCCAAGCTCTGGGGGCCCCGGCTGCCTTTGGGGGCTTGGAGCTCTAGGGTACCCCCCTCCATCCACACCGGCCGGGAGCTTTGAAGGTGGCTCGGAACTCTGGGGGCCCAGCTGCCCTCGGTGGCTCAGAGCTTTGGGGTACCCCTGCGGTGGCTCCCGGGTCTCCCACGGCAGCCAGGAGCTCCGGGGGCCCCCACCATCTGCAGTGGCCAGGAGCTGCGGGGGAGCCCCACTGCCCAAGGTGGCCAGGAGCTATGGCCACACCGCTTGTGGTGGCCGGGAGCTCCGGGGGACGGGACCGCCACCCCGGGCCCCTGCAGCTCCTGGGCGACATGGCTGAATTCATGGAGGTCACTGGAAGTCACGGATTCCGTGACCTCCATGAAAAAATCGTAGCCTTCATTATAATCTATAAAAATAACTAGATCTGTGATCTTAAATATTTAGCTTAAAGATTGTACACAATGAGGTTACACCTGCAATTTAAAAAATCAGGTTTGCTATTGAAGTTTCCTTTTCAGAGGGTGCTAAATGCTTTCTCCTGAATGTGCCAGAACATCACGTATATGTACTTTTTGATATATGCACTTTCCTTTTACTCAATGAGCAAACTGTATGTAAGACTTGGATAAATTAAACTCTCATTTCTGTGGCTTCTAATAGAAAGTAAATGACTTATTTCCATATGGAAAATGTTTGCTGTTGAGCAGTATTTGCTACCTTAATTAAATTTTCAGGTGTGCTTATTACTGGTACTCTAAACCTCATGCACTGTAGTGAGGATTGGACAGGGTTGGTGCTGCATTTTAAATGCAACACTGGGCAGTATTGCGTACATCTAGACAGATGCAATGTCCGTTTTTTTTTAAAACCATGGCTAGAGTTCTACATAAAATCAGTTAAAAAAAATCAATAACTTCCTTGCAGTATTTGGTTTTAGAGAGAGATTTGTGGTATTTACTACTCCAGTTATCATAGCTTTGTAAATGCTTTTTGATGCTAAGTGCTCTGTGTATTAGTGTATACAGTATATTGTGATTAAACAGCTGGAATATCCTTGCTTTGTCCACTGTTTCCTGGGGTAATGGGAGAGAACTCAGTTATGGGTGGCAGTGTCCTAATCTGAGATGCTGTCAAGTGTCTTCCCTTTCCATTATGCTTGTGACACCAGTACCTGCTACACTGTACTTGAGAACTGAAGGCTCTTGAAACTCAAAGTACAATTTGAAATGAAATGTGATACACAGACTCTCTTGTCCTTTAAGTCTATTTATACCCGAATTGGTTTGTATACTACAAAACTATATTAGAATTGTGGAATATATCTGTGTGTGTGTATGTATATGTATATGTGTGTATATATATAATATGATGTATATACGAACTATGGAAAGGAAACGAGTCATGCAAGAACCAGCATTTCCTCATCCTTTCTTTTAATAACAAACTATGTTTAACCTGAGGTGAAATCTAAAATATTATCTGGCTTCATATACCAGTTTTTCCTCAAACCATAAACTGTGTGCAAATATCTAGATTTTAATAAGAAATAAGATGGCTGCTTAAATTACATGTACATAGTTTTCTACATTGTGGTACAATTTGAAGGTTCCCGGTTTAATATGTACAACAAATAGGTATAAGGCATATTGTTGGACTTCAGGCTAAACCATAGTAGCTTGAAATTAGTACAGTATGTGAACAGGTTTTTTGTAATTAAAAATAAAGCTACCTTAATTGGTTGAGGTGGCATAAAGGTACGTGAATATAATGTTCATTTGAAAGGTTGATAAAATGCTTTACAAGTTGTTTATTATATACAGTTTCTTATCACTTTCGTTCCAGGCCCCAAGAGGAGGGTGGGTGGGTTGAAGAGAGAAGGAGGTAGAATATGGCTGTGTTGTCAATAACATTACACGGGTTACTTTTTGGGAGCTGGATAATGATGGAAGGACTGTTCTTCACTCCACTGCCATTTGAAAGTAAAGGAGGAATTCTAGGTACACTGAACATATTGTACTTAATTGTATATAACTCAAATTACCATAGAAATATACGTCTCTTCCTTTATCCCAGTGATGAAAAAAACCACATAGTTCAGCTGTTTTTGTATTAAATTGTGAGACAATGCTGCAGCCTCATTAAAACTTTCTAATTCTTTTGGTTCTTTACCCAGTAAGTAATCATCTATATATCAGAACTGGTGGTTAGTCAATGTGACAACCTTTTGATTCTCTGACTGATTCATATGAGAGCTTTGGATGGAGCTACATATGAAGTCTGTATTTATCTCTGTGCTCCTGCCACCTCTAGTAAAACTGTGAGAAACTAATATCAAGTGCATAAGTCAGAATAGAGTTGTATTCATCTTGGCAATTAAGTTGGGATTCCTTTATTGACCCAACTTTGGCAAATGCCTTGCAAAATTATCACTCTTCCTTGAAGTTGATAAAACTTGAACCAGTTGCAGCACCATACATCTTTACAGAGCTTGGTCCCAATCCTGCAGTTGACAGCATATAGCAATCTACCTATGTTGTGCAGATCCCTATTGACTACAGGGGGCACAACAGTTCATCTATGCACTGTCAATTATAGGATCAGGGCTTTAGTCTTACTATCTCAGTGGCCTTGGGTCTTCCAGGAATTTAATTAATTTTTAATAGATGTGCCAAAAGTATATTGCTGGAAGGATATGAATACAATTGAAATTTTTTTAAAAAGGCCACCTAGGCTGGCTAAAAGAATGTAATTCTAGAGTAATTTATTGTTTGTTAGCATACTGAATACACTAGTGATCTTCCTGGTCTCCTATTCACCAGTGGTGGCAAACACTAACAACAAGATGTAAGCACAGAGGCATGGTCTTATTTGCTAGGGACCTGGGCAACACTCAATCTACTTTTTAAAAATTCACATTTAGATTATCAAAATCTGTGATACTACATATGTATTTCTGTTAAGAACGTAAGAATTACCATACTGGGTCAGACCAGTGGTAGATATAGCCCAATATCCTGTTTTCTGACTGTGGCCAGTACAGATGCTTCAGGGGGGAGTGAACAGAACAGGGCAATTTCGAGTGATCCATCCTGTTATCCAATCCTGACTTCTGGCAGTCAGAGGTTTAGGGACACCCAGAGCATGAGGTTGCGTCTCTGACCATCTTGGCTAATAGTCATTGATGGACCTATCCTCCATGAATTTATCTAATTGTTTTTTTGAACTCAGTTATGCTCTTGGCCTTCACATCATCCCCTGGCATAAAGTTCCACAGATGGACTGTATGTTGTGGAAAGAAGTACTTCTTTGTTTTTAACCCTGCTGCGTATTAGTATAGTTGGATGACCCCTAGTTCTTGTGTAATGTGAAAGAATCAATAACACTTCCCTATTCACTTTCTCTATACCATCCATGATTTTATGGACCTCGATCATATGCCCCCTTAGTTTTCTCTTTTGTAAAAATGAATAGTCCCAATCTCTTTAATCTCTCATATGGAAGATGTTCCATACCTCTAATCATTTTTGTTGCTCTTCTCTGCATCTTTTGCAATTCTAATATATCTTTTTTGAGATGGGGCGAGTTGAACTGCATGCAGTATTCAAGGTGTGGGCGAGCCATGGATTTCTGTAGCGACATATTATTATTTTCTGTTTTAGTGATCCCATTCCTAATGGTTTCTAACATTGTTAGCTTTTTCGACTGCTGATGCACATTGAGTGGATGTTTTCAAAGAACTATTCCTGATGACTCCAAGATCTCTTTCTTGAGTGGTAACAACAGCTAATTTAGATCCCATTATTTTGTGTGGATAGTTGGGATTATTTTTTCCAATGTGCATTACTTTGCACATATCAATGTTGAATTTTGTCTGCCATTGTGTTATCCAGGCACCCAGTTTAGTGTGATCCTTTTGTAAATCTTTGCTGTCAGCTTTGGACTTAACTATCTTGAATAATTTGGTATTTTCTGCAAATTTTGTCACCTCGTTGTTTGCCCTTTTTTCCAGATCATTTATGAATATGGTGAACAGTACTGGTCCTAGTACAGATCCTTGGGGGATTCTGCTATTTACTTTTCTCCACTGTCAAAACTGACTATTTATTCCTACCCTTTTGTTTCCTATCTTTTAACCAGTTATTGATCCATAAGATGACCTTACCACTTATTCCATGACTGCTTAGTTTACTTAAGACCTTCTGGTAAGGGACCTTGTCAAAGGCTTTCTGAAAGTCCAAGTACATTATATCCACTGGGTCACCCTTTTCCACTGCTTGTTGACACCCTCAAAGAAATAGATTGGTGAGACATAATTTCTCTTTACAAGAAGCTTGATACCCCCCACATACCATGTTTATCTATGCATCTGTTTTTTTTCTTTCCTGTAGTTTCAACCAATTTGCCTGGTACTGAAATTAGGCTTACTGGCCTGTAATTGCCAGGATTGCCTCGGGAGCCTTTTTGATGTTAAATTAGCTATTCTCCAGTTATCTGATACAGAGGCTGGTTTTAAGAGAGTGGTTACATACCACAGTTAGTAGTTCTTCAGTTTCATATTTGAGTTCCTTCAGAACTCTTGGGTAAATACCATCTGGTCCTGGTGACTTATTACTATTTAGTTTTATTAATTTGTTCCAGCATCTCCTCTATTGACACCTCAATCTGGGACAGTTCCTTAGATTTATCAGCTAACAAGAATGGCATGGGTGTGGGGATCTCTCCAACATCCTCAACAGTGAAGACCGAAGCTAAATGAATTATTTGCATCTCTGCAAGTGTCTTGTCTTACTTAAGAGCTCCTTTTAACATCTTGATTTTTTTCCAGTGGCTCCAGTTGACTGCTCGGCAGTTTTCCTGCTTCTGATGTGGTGGTTTTTTTTAAGTTGCTGTTAGTTTTTGTCTTTAGCTAGGTGCTCTTCAAATTCTTTCTTGGCCTGCTTAATTATAGTTTTACACTTTACTTGGCAGAGTTTATGCTGCTTACTGTTTTGATCACTAGGATCTGACTTCCAATTTCTAAAGGAGACCTCTAACTGCCTCTTTTACTTTGCTGGTCAACCATGGTGGCACTTTTTTTGGTTCTTACTGTTTTTTATTTGGGGTATACGGTTAGTTTAAGCCTCTGTTATGCTGTTTTCAAATAGTCCCCATGCAGTTTGCAGGCATTTCACCCTTGTGACTGTTCCTTTTAATTTCCATTTAACTAGCTTCCTCATTTTTGTTTGGTTCCTTTTTTGAAGATAAAATGCACTGTGGTGGGTTTCTTTGGTATCTTTCCCCCTGATATTAAGTGCTAAATTTAATTACCTTATGATGACTATACTGAGTGGTTCAGCTGTATTCACTTCTTGGACCAGATCCTGTGCCCCATATAGAACTTAATCAAGAATTGCCTCTTCTTTTCTGGGTTCCAGGACTAGCTGTTCCAAGAAGCAGTCACTAATGGTGTCTAGGAAGTTTATCTCTGCATTCCTTCCTGAGGTGATAGATACCCAGTCAATATGAGGATAGGGTGAAATCCTCCATTATAATAGCTTTTTCTGTCTTTATAGCCTTTGTAATCTTGCTAAGCTTTTCAGTCACTGTCACCGTCCTGGTCAGGAGGTTGGTAGTATATTCTTACTGCTCTACTTTGGTTGTTTAAGCATGGAATTTCTATTCATAGAGATTCTGTGGTACAGTTTAATTCTCAAGATTTTTATTTTAATTGACTTTGATTTCCTTGGCATATGGTGCAACTCTCCCACCAGCAAGACATACTGTCATTCCTCTATATTTTGTTCCTTGATATTACCGCACCCTGTTGATTTTCCTCATTCCACCAAGTTTCCACGATGCTGCTTCTATCAATATCCTCATTTAATGCCAAGCACTCTAGTTCACCCATCTTAGTATTTAGGCTTCTGGCATTAGTATATAACCCTTTGTACCTTTTGTCAATATTGAGTTGCTTGCCATCATGTGTTGTATTTAAATGAGACTCTTTAACATTTGACGGTTCCTCACTAGCTCCTACCTGCATGCTGCCAGCTTCTTTCCTATCCTGTTTCCTGACATAACATAGTGAAAAGAACTTCAGCTATATTGATATCACTGGAAAAGCTAATGGATCATGGACATCTCAGCATATACTTATTGGAAGTGGGGAGAAAGAAGCTTGCAGAATAATTTATTCACTGTGAGGAAATAAGATACTCTGTGTGCACCTCTATGGCAAATATAATGTTATCTATGAAATATTAGTAATATTTACAAAGAAAACATAGCCATACTGGGTCAGGCCAATGGTCCATCTAGCCTAGTATCCTGTCTCTGACAGTGCCCAGTACCAGAGCTTCAGGTGAAGGGTACAGAATAGGGCAACTGGAATGATTCACCCTCTCTTCCCCTTCTGGCAGTCAGAGGTGTAGGGTTGTCCCAAGCATGGGGTTGCACCTCTGACCATCTTGGCCAATAGCCATTGATGGACCTATCCTCTGTGAACTTTTATAGGTCTTTTTTGAAACCAGTTATATTTCAAGTGATCACAACATCCCATGGCAATGAGAAAAAATATTTATCCTGTTTTGAATCACTGTTCACTAAAATAAGTATGATTTGTTTCCTATGGGCTTTTTTCATATTTGACTTCAAGTCACTTTAGAGAAAGTGTTCTCAATTAAAGTATTGGTAAGTTGTTTGAGATTTAATAACTGTTTGAAAAATTGATCTGGTATTCTGACATAATCTTATTGAAGATCACTCTTTAGTTCCTTTTAACTTTTCATTTATGGAATTTAGGAAATTCCTTTTTACTACAGTACTTGTAGGTATTTGTTAGATTATTATCCTTGTTTAAATTCTATCTCCATGGAAATAAACGTGATTATTCTTTTTGTACATAAGGCATGAATTCTCAATCTGGGATTTGTGAAAAAGTCCGGGGAAGTGGCAACCATCTTTTCATCTATGCCTTGATATGAGTGGGGAAAGTCCCTAAATTTGTGTGTGATTTATATGAGGTGGAAAAGTTTGAGAAACACTGAAGTAAAGGATTCACTTTGTGTCATTGTCTTTGTATAAAGTCCTACTTAATATGTGAAATTGGGAGTATTCCAAAACTTTGTAAATTACTGGAACCATACACTTGAAGCTGTAGCTGGAAATGAGATTTTTCTCAGTTCTAGCCAACTTAACTAAAATGTAACAATTTTTCTATTTTCATGATCTTTCACTGTCAACGTATTTCCTTATTCCTGGGTCAGTTTTGTTTTTTTCTGACTTATAAATTGCAACTTTTGTTTCTTTGCTCTGGTTTCCCTTTTAGAATTTATTGTACTGCGTAATAATGTCAGAAATAGATTACCACTATACTGCTCCATATTTTCAGCCCTGGAGAAATATTTACTCCCCACTCCTGGGAGACAAGCAAGTATTCTTGCAGTAAAATGGGGAAACTGAACCAAAGAGGTTAATTGACATGTTCAACACCTCACAGTCAATGGTAGAGCTAGATTTAGAATTCAAGAATTCTTGGCTTTCAGATCCATGCTCTGTGAACTAGGCTGTCTCTTTGTAGAAGTTTTGAGGGATACCTAAATTGCAGTCACAATATTTGAAAAGACTTTAGACAAGGATTCAGTAATCCTAGTTCGCCTATATATATATGTGTATATATATATTCATATTCCAAAATCAGTTTGGTTTCCAATTATATGGAAGATGGCTATAGCAGATGTACTACATTCTAATTTAGGCACATCTGACCACTTGTGCTAAGGGAATCAGAGTCTTGACTATAAGTGATGCTGAAGAGGGGTTATTGTAGTCTTGGCTGAGTCCACATGACCCGAAAATATGGAAGATGTTAATGTTTAAAAATACTTCAAAAAAGTGGTGAGGATGCAGATTAAACCCACTTTCCCTCAATGCCCATGACCCCTGTTCTAAGGTTGACAACCTAACTGGAAAAAGTCTCTGCAATCTTAATTTTTGCTTCTTCAATAAATTAAATGAGATCTAGAGTTAAATAGGGTTTAAAAACAAATCAAAAGACAGTTGCATATTCATATCTAGCCTCTATTAATTGTTAGAATTTGCCAAGTTATTTCATTCTTCCTGTATATTTTCCAGTCTCATTAAGACTTTTATAAACTTTGTTTGTATCTTTCAGCTACTACTCCATGGTTTGAGTCTTACAGAGAGAGCTTTCTTCAGTCCATGCCTGCATCAGATCATGAATTCCTAAACCACTATGTCGCATGTATCCTTTGAGTCTTAAATATGGACTATGGCTCTCTAAAATTAAATGAGGCAGAATGTTACAGCTGACTCTTCATTGCAGAAACATAGTATATAAGGAATTTGGGGGTTTTGAGTGTAACTTTAAAGCTATTGATATTGCCGCTATGCTTTTACTTCTGTATAAATTCCTCTTCCTCAATCCCTCCAGCACATATAATTACACACACTTGCTAAAGGAAGAAAATGCCTGCATTATGTAGGAGAGTTATAAATTAGTACTGTAAATAAGTGCTCTTGGTCTATATAACCAGATAATCAAATCTGTTATTCACTGTACAAAAGATGGGAAAGTCCTGTTCCACTCTCAAGTGGAAATGGCTTGGTCAGATGCACTCTGCTCTTCTCACCCCACAGCTGAGGAAGGTGAGGGTTCTGTGATTTCTATTGGGGAGTTATCCCTGAGCCCTACTTCACAATTCTATTGTCATACAAAATTCTGGTGATAGGTATCTGAAGCCACAGTCCCTCCCCAAAAGTCCCTCACGCTGGTAAGGGCAAGAAGTGTTTTTTGGGTTATTTTGTTTTTTTCCAGTTCCAGAGCTCCCTGCTGCTACAACAGTGGGTTTTGCCTCTGCTACTCTATCCTGATCCAGTTTCTAGTTTTGAGTCTCTCTCCTCAGTGAAAACTAGTACACTGATGTGTTTTGTAAACAGCAGCAGTGATATTGACCTGATTGTGTCCATATCACTGTTTACAGGGTTCTGAACAGCAGCGGTAAAAACTAGCAATACTGGCCATTTTCATTCTGTAGCTGGAAGACAGTACTGCATAAGGTAACTTAACACTTGGAAGGTTAACTGAACTACAGCAACTAACAACTTTCTTGTCTAGCTTATTGTGAAGTTGATGGCTTTTGTCTAAGTTTTGTACTCTTCCTGGATGACACATTTTTTTTCATGTCCTCCAAATACTAACGTACATATACAACTAACCTAGTTAGTAAAGCACTAAACTTTCCTCTTGACATACTGTTACAAATATCTAGTAACTACTTTCCTTCCCCAAGCTATATGTTTTAAGTAAGATTGCCAATATATCTTCATAGAACTGAGACGCTACAAAAGTTTAGGGTATTACCCCACTGTCCAGTTTGATTTTATGTTGAGCTATTAAACAGATTTCATACTTCATGGGATAAACTCCAAAATCTTTTTCATCTTTACTTTTAGTTTGAATGGGAGTTAACAGGATGCACAGTGAGGATTCTATGATGATTTCTGATATCACTTTTTAAAAGTCTGTAGGTGGTTTTAAAAAGTCTGCACCTGTCCTAGTAAAGAGGTTTTAATTACTGTAGAAATTATTCTTTAGTATGTGTCTGTGACTAAAGGCAAGAAGTTCAAAGCTGTAGATGTGTTGCATGATTCTTTAAAAATGCCACAAACAAAATCTTGTTTTTTCTCAAACAGCCCCACATAGAAGGAAGGCATTGGTATTGATAATATTGTGTGCTATCTTTAACTTGGACTTTATGGTTATGTATAGGCCTTGTTTAAACTTGAACGTTCAGATATTCTGTTTGAATTTGCCAATGTAATGTTGGATTAATAATATTGGAAACTGAAGGAAATATTTTCAAAATTAAGAGTAGAAAGTTAGGCTCCTAAAATACAGCACTTCTGAAAATCAGATGATATGTTTAGGCAACTAAATCTAGGGGACTTTTTAAAAAATAATTCCGGATTCCTTGGCATGTTTACTAAGACTAGCATTGGGACACTCTCTCGGGCAATCTTTTTTTAAAACTAACCAAGCTTCTCTCTTTCTTTCTCATTCCTACCTCTAAGACAAATTATGTATTTCTTTAGAATATAGTTCAGTTATTACTGTGTCATGCATGTGGACAAACACATGTTCACCTTAATCACTTGCTGTTGGGTTTACTTGTGAACTGGTTCTTTCCCCAAAATACTAGTGATTAGGTCATTTTCTTTACATAGTTATATTAATAAGTGGCACCTGGATGCCATTACAAAAAAGTCATGAGTTCGACAAGTTTAAATTAAGCTCCTACCAATTCTCCCCTCCTCTCCCCCCGTTTATAATTCTAGAATCATAGAACTGGAAGGGACCTTGAGAAGTCATCTAGTCCAGTTCCCTGCATTCATGGCAGGAATAAGTATTATCCAGGATTATAGTGTACCATTGATTCAGCTGACTTTTTTTAAAGTTATAAATATCCACTTGTTCAAATTGCTTGGCCAAATTTCTGCTGCAAATACACTTTTGCAGCAATCAAAAATGGATAATTATATAGCCATTAATATAGATGTAACCTTAAATGTAGTGAAGCAAGCAGGCTATGATACCATGAATTGATGGTATTTGTGATAAGATCATATCCTTAATGTGAATTCAGGTATGCTTGTAGTTTCTTCTGGTGAGCCTGAACCTGTGGAGCAATTTCTGAAGCTGTCACAAGAGCAGCATAGAATTCAGCACAGCAGTGAATATGCATATCCAAAATGGTTTATACCAAACACACTCAAATATTATGTATTGCTACATGATGTAAGTGCAGGAGAGGAACAAAGGTGGGTTTTTGTCTTTTACCTTGTGATTTTACTGAACATTCAGAAAAGCTTGTTTTGCTGAAATGCTGACTCTGGAAATTAACGTGTGCATGTGCGCGCATGTAAAAAAAATTGTTGCCTATTTTAATATAATTAACCAGTATGGAGACTGGTCCAGGCAGATTTACTTATTTAATATTTTTCTCTCAAACTTCTTTTTGTATGTACATGTGAAATACACAAAGAACTAATTCCAGTTTTATGAAGTAGGCAATATCTAGTGTCTTTAATTTCTTTCTAAAGTGAATTATCTTAAAATCATCTGCATCTTGTATTGCAATCTGTAAAATTTTTTTGTTTGGAAAAAACAAATCACCACTCCCCCAATATACACGTTAGCATCAATTAAGGTAGCTTTAAAAATTAAAATCTTTGTAGATTGCTAGATTATACTGTAAATATCTTGGGCATATTGGGCATCTCAGACTTTAATACCACTTACCCTATTATATATTATTTCTAGCATGTTTAAGAAAGAAAAATGTCTAATTAGTTAGAACAGTGTCTCAAATTTAGAGTGATTAAAGGTGTTGGCTACAATGGTGCTAGGAAATAAGGAGACGTTACCATTGTTAGGGTGGTATGAGCCCATCTCTGTCCTCTTGTTTTTCAGCTATGGATTCCTAAATGCTTTATCATAAACAAATTGTTTCATGTGGTAATCCAGTGGGTTACTATAATACATTTGGTAGTTTTCTCCTAAATTTTTCTACAGGTCAATAGAAATGCCATCATTAGGACTACTGTTATCTTAATCCTATCAGTTTATTCCTTCCTTCATACTTTTTTCTCCTCAGCTTGTTTTAGTCTGTTACTGTCATATCGCTTTCCTTTCTGATCTCTTCTCTAGCTTCTAACTTTCCTTGTTGCCTTCCTTTCTCCCACCTCCTTCTTAGTAGAGAATAAGCAGTTACTGCCAAATAGTAGCAGTTGGATCTAGTCAGTTTCCCTTTGCACACCTTCCAGGGGTAAAGTGTTTTTGCACTGGAGTTCTGCTGTGTTGGCTTCCTCTCTGTCTCTGCTGCGAACTGCTATACAAAGTGTGCCTGGGAAAGTAGCAGACACAGTGTTGGGAAGAGTTTTGTAGATGCTGATGTGAGATTTGCAAGCAATACAGTAGAAAACTTGCAAACTACACTTCTTTTCTACAACTCTTGTCTGACAGGAAATCTGTGAACACTGTTTTTAAGAAAGTGCTTCAAGAAAGCTACTTCCAGTTTGAGACAAACTGACTATATTTGAGATGTTCCGTTTCAGAGCTGACTCAGTATATGAAGAAATGAAACAGAGATATGGAACTCAGGGTTGCTATTTACTTAAAATAAATTCTCGAGGATCTAACAGGGGAGCAGATGAACAAATACCAGATCCTTGGAGTCAGTATCTCCAGAAAAACAGTATCCAAAACCAGGTATGTGTTCAAAAATGTTTGAAACCTACACTGTAATGACTATTGTAATCATGTTGGCTAACTTTGTTTCTGCAATTGTGTCACGGCTCTGTATTAGCAGTGCTATTCCTGTGGAATTGTGCCATGATGGATCATTCACCAAGGTATTCCCAAACACAGTAGCATAAGATTGTCCGTCTTTCCCTCCCCCCCCCCCCCCCCCACACACAAACACACTATTTTTGTTTCTGAGGGCACTAGGTCAATCTTCATTTAGAGGACTTTTGCTTATGTACCACTTAAATATATAAAATCGATTACTGGAATAGTAGAATCCTTGAGCACCAAGAGAAATAACCTCTACGCTTTGTGAATTTATTCAGTTATTCTTGGCCTCCAGCTCCAGGTAGTTAACAGCGTAAGCACTTTACACATGCTTGTTTTCTCAAAGCTTCCTCAGGCTAACTTTCTTCCCCTCAGTTGAAGATTTTGAAAGTGTTTTAGGAAATGAGTGAACAAAAAGAGGCCAAGAGGAAACAAGTAAGTGCTTCTTTAGTGATGAGGTCTTGCAACCAGTCTGATAGGGTCTATCTGCCTTTGATGTCAGGACTTTAATAGCGGTGCATGTCAGTCTCTGAAGTATTTAGCATCCTCTTCATCACAAGTTTGTTGAGAAGTAGATCTCTACAGCCAAAGAACCTCTGATGCAGAGGGATCCCTGCACTGAAAACAGCTCCTCTCCTTTGGGGATTTAACACCTCTTTCCCTGCTCTATCTTCACTGATAGAAAGTCTTTGACTAAAGTGTATTGGGGAGTCTCTCCCCCATTCCTGCTAAATATATGGTGGGACCTGAAATTTAACGGAATTGTTGTCAAAGCCACTCTGTCACTGAAGGCTGAAGTTATTTCTACCTCCTCTGCTCTATTTGATATAACATCTCTAAAATATCTGATGATTTTCTAATAAGCTAACTTGGAGAGGTCCAGCTGTCATGAATTGACCTTTTCTGAACCTCTCATCTGCCCCTGATTCTCTGACTTTTGTTTCCTACTTCCAGGCAATTTCTCAAAGCTTTAAGAGTTAGCTGTTGAAAAGCTAACTTGTAAGAGGAGCATCCATTTAAAATATGGTTTGACACTGCTTCCTAAAATGTAATATCTGAAGAATCAAACTTCTGTGGGAAGAATTGACAGGAATTGCTAATGATTTGCAAACAGCTTTTTAAAAACTGGCTGTGCTAATGCTCTGTTTTTCCTGGTAGGAATCTTATGATGATGGTCCATATACTGTAATTTCAAATAAGAATGCTGACCATTTAATATCAGATGGCTTAGATAATGACATCCAAGGTATTTTTGTAACTTTAATTTTTGTTCAAAATTGTAATGTTAATGTAGGCATGTAAAGTAAAATATAAATGTCATTTGTCTTGTCTCAGTATAAAACAAACAAAACGTTAAGTTGCACAAGGAATGGGATGGTAAAGAATATGAAGAATATATTATGCCTTTGGTGGTGTGGCCTCATCTGGACTACTGCATGCCTTACTGGTCACCCCATCTCAAAAAGAACATTGCAGATCTAGAGGGATGTCAGAAGTGTTGAATGACAAAGAGCTTTGGGGAAAAAACTCACATTAGAAGAGTGAAAAGTTTGGGATTGTTTGCCTTAGAAAGGAGACAAGTAAGAGGGGACATGAAATTATATACAATAATGCCTAGTCTGGAAAAGATAGATTGAGAACTTCTGCTCTCCTTGTCTCATAACACAACAAGGGGGCATTTAGTGAAATTAAAAGGTGAGAAATTTAAAACCGATAAAATACTTTTTTCATACAATATGAAATTAAACTGGAACACACTGTTTCAGGAAGTTGTGGAGCTCAAGAATGGGAGGGACGGACTCCACCTAAACCAAAATGGAACTAGATGGCTGGCAGGTAAAATTAAAAAGGTTGTATTGGAGTTTTTAACACGAGTTTCCCCTAGCCTAATGCGGAAAGCTGACACGTGGAGAAGCACACAGTTTGGACAGAGACATCCCTTAGGGAGAATTTATTGAAGTGGGTACTCTATATCCTAGTAAAAAGGAGGATAGAAGTTCACGAAATGAGTCTCATTCAATTAGGTCACATGAAGCCAGACAACTAAATATTGACAGATTTTTATAAGTGATTGTATACAAATGTGAGAAGTCTAAATACTGAGCTGGGTGAACTCAAGTGCCTGGTATTAGAGGGTATCAATATAATAAGCGTCACAGAAACTTGGTGGAATGATGATAATCAATGGAACATAATACCAGGGTACAAAATCTATAGGCATGACAGAGTAGGTCATGCTGGTGGGGGATTGGCACTAGGTGAAAGAAAACAGTCAAATATAGTAAAAATCTGAAATGAATCAAACTGTATTATAGAGTGTCTCTGGATAGATATTCCATGCTTGAATAATAAAAAAAATAGCAGTAGGAATATACTACCCACCACCTTACCAGGATGGTGATGGTAATTGTGAAATCCTCAGGGAGAGGAGAGGCTACAAGAACGGGAACACCAATAATAATAATAGGGGATATCCACTATCTCCATATTGACCAGGAACATGTCACCTCAGGACAGGATGCAAAGATAAAATTTCTAGACACCATAAATGACTGCTTCTTGGAGAAATCAGTCCTGGAACTCACAAGGGAAGAGGCAATTCTTGAGTTAGTCCTAAGTGGCACACAGGATCTTGTCCAAGAGGTCATTAGCTGAGTAATAGCAACCATAATGTAATTACATTTAACATCCTTGTAGGGGGAAAAGTGCCAAAGAAACCCACCACAGTAGCATTTAACTTCAAAAAGCGGAACTACAAAAAATGAGGAAGCTAGTTAAACAAAATTAAAAGGAACAGTCACAAGGTTGAAATGCCTGCAAACTGCATGGGGACTATTTAAAAACCCCATAACACAGGCTCAGACTAAATGTATATCCCAAATTAACAAAACCAAACAAAAGGGCCAAAAAAATGCCACTATGGCCAAACAACAGAGTACAAGAGGTGCTTAGAGGCAAAAAAAAAAAAAAAACATCTTTTAAAAATTGGAGTCAAATCCTAGTGAAGAAAATAGAAAGCATAAATTCTGCCAGGTCAAGTGTAAAAGTTTTTAATTAAGCTGACCAAAAAAGCATTTGAAGAGCAACTAGCAAACACCACACAAACTAACATCAAAAAAATTAAGTACATCAGGAGCAGGAAGTCTGCCAAACAATCACTGGGGCCACTGAACGATCAAGATGCTAAAGGAACACTAAAGATGCTAAAGGAAAGAGAACAAGGTTATTGGGGAGAAGCTAAATTAATTCTTTGCATAAGTCTTCACTGCAGAGGACATGAAGTAGATTCACATACCCTCAGTTTTGTTACCTAAACAGACTGGCTTGGAACTGTCCCAGATTGAGATGCCAGTAAAGGAGGTTTTGGAACAAATTGATACATTAAAAGAGTCATGAGTCACCAGGACCACATGGCATTCACCCAAGAGTTCTGAAGGAACTCAAATATGAAATTGTAGAACTACTAACTGTGGTATGTAACCTATCACTTAAATCAGCTTCTATACCAGATGACTAGAGGATGGCTAATGTAACGATTTAAAAAAAGTGTCTCTAGCGGCTATCCTGGCAATTATAGGCTGTACCAGGCAAATTGGTTCAAACTACAGTAAAGAACAGAATTATCAGACACATAGATGAAAACATGTACGGCACAGTCCAATACAATGGTTCAGTCTCTGAGGCTTTCCAGATTCGTAGCGGAGTTAAGCAAGGTTGCGTACTTGTCCCAACTCTGTTTGGGATTTTCTCCCTGCTACTGAAACAAGCCTTTGGTTCCTCAACTGAGGGGGTCTACTTGCACACAAGATCGGATGGAAAGCTGTTCAATCTTGCAAGTCTCAGATCTAAAACAAAGACTTAAGAGGTCCTTATCCAACACCTCCTCGTTGCCAATGACGCAGCAGTGACAACCCACACAGAAGCTCATCTTCAAAGCCTAATGGACAGTTTTTCCAAAGCCTGCCAAGACTTTGGGCTTACTATAAACCTAAAAAAGACTAACATAATGTGCCAAGGAGTAGAGGAAGTACCGTCCATCAAGATCAACAATTATGAACTTGACGTGGTGAATGAGTTCACATACCTGGGGTCCATTATCACAGTCAACCTTTCACTTGAAATGGAACTCAACATCTACTTTGGAAAAGTCACCGCAACAATGTCTAGACTGAACAAGAAGGTATGGCAGAGCAACAGATTGACAGAACACACACAGATCTGTCTATCGTGCATGTGTTATCAGCACACTTTTTGTATGGGAGCTAGACGTGGACGTTATTCTCATCAGGAAAAGAGGCTCAACAGCTTTCATATGCGTTGCCTTTGTTGAATCTTTGGAATCTCTTGGAGGGACAGAGTGACCAACACTGAGGTGCTCAAACAGGCCAGCATGCCCAGCATGCAAACACTCCTCAAACAGAGACGCCTCCACTGGCTTGGGCATGTGTGCCGAATGAGTGAATGGCACATCCCAAAGGATTTCCTCTATGGCGAATTGGCATCTGGAAAAAGACCCAAAGGATGCCCGACATTGTGTTTCAAGGCTGTCTGCAAGGGAGACCTCAAAGAAATGGACATGGATGTGGACAAATGGGAAGATCACACAAGACCGGAGCCTTTGGAAACAAGAGCTTACCAAAGGTCTCCGGAGTTATGAGAGGAAACAGTCCAGCTAAGCAGTGGAGAAAAGAGCTCACAGAAGGCAGAGCCCAAAGGCTCGAAACATCACCTTTAAATGTGACAGATGTGGCAGAGATTGTGGGTCTCTTCAGCCACATTCGTGGCTGCAATAAAACCAACGGAGTAAATTCTTTACCTCTCAGGGGCGCATATCCATGGTCTCTCGAGACTGAAGGATGCCTACTACTCGATGAATACGATAGGTTGGGGAAGAGTAAACACGACATTTACAAAGGGAAATCATTCCTCACCAAACTACTAAAATTCTCTGAGGGAGTCAAAAAGCATGTGGACAAGAATGATCTGGTCAGTATAGTGTACTTGGATATTTTGAAAGTCTTTGACAAGGTCCCTCACCAAAGGCTTTTGAACAAAGTAAAAAGTCACGGGATAAGGGACTGAAAAGTGAGGTGGAAGCATTTTGCAGATGATAGAAAATTACTCAAGATAGTTAATTCCAAAGCTGATAGCAAAGCATTGCAAAGGGATCATCACGAGACTGGGTGACAAAATGGCAGATAAAATTCAATGATAAGTGCAAAGTGATGCAGATTGGAAAACATAATCCCAAGTATCCACACAAAATGAAGTCTAAATTAGCTGTTACCATTCAAGGAAGAGATCTTTGTGTCATTGGGGATAGTTCTCTGAAAACATCTGCTCATTGTGCAGTGGTGGTCAAAAAAGTTAACGATGTTAGGAACCATTAAGAAAGAGATAAATAAGACAGAAAATATCATAATGCCACTATATAAATCCATGGCTCACCCACACCTTGAATAATATGTGCAGTTCAGTCTCCCTATCTCAAAAAAGACATTAGAATTGAAAAAGGAGTAGAGAAGGGCAACAAAATGATTAGGGGTGTGGAGTGTGGCTTCCATTTGAGGAGAGATTAAAGATAGGGACTTCTCAGCATAGAAGGGAGATGACTAAAGGACCATATGATAGAGACAACCAAAGGGGCATATGATAGAGGTCTATAAAATCATGAATAGTATGGAGAAAGTGAATGCGGAAGTTTACTCTTATTTACTCCCTCACATTGCACAAGAACTAGGGGTCATCTGATGAAATTAATAGGCAGCAGGTTTAAAATAACCCAACATAATGCACAGTCAACCTGTGGAACTTGTTTCTAGGGGATGTTGTGAAGGCCAAGAGTATAACTGAGTTTTTAAAAAAAAAATTAGATAAGTTCAGGAGGGTTAGGTCCATCAATGACTATTAGCCAAGATGGTCAGGCATGCAGCCCAAAGATGTCCCTAAACCTCTGACTCCTGAAAGCTGGGACTAGATTACAGGGGATGGATCATTCAATAATTGACTTGTTCTGTTCATTCCTTCTGAAGCATCTGACACTGACCACTGTCAGAAGACAAGATACTGGGCTAGATGGTCTGACCCAGTGTGGACATTCTAATGTTCTTAAATCACTTTGCTCCTCCTCTCCCATCTTGGCCAGAGCTTTCAAGAGGGTTCTAGGTCTTTGTCAATAGAGCACATTGCACCATCTGGTCAGTCCACAGTTTTAGGAGAACAGCTTTCATTTACAAGTTGGCACAACTAATTACGTGAATAACTAATCGTACACATGCATTTAACAAAGCTTTGGATAGGGGAAGTTAGAGTATGTGTAACAGGCTATAACATAAGCTTGTAAAGATTACTTAATCTAAATTTTTGTTTTCAGGAAATAACTGAATGCACAACTAGTGAAATAGAACCTTTTATTTTTCAGTGGATGGTTTATCAAATAACTTTAAGGCTCACCCTCTTCAACTGGATCATCTCAGTGATACTAGTAGCAGTTTTGATGGCACTGATTACATAAAGACTACTTCATCACTGCATGAATCAAAGAAGACAAGTTCTGGGACGCCTCATGGTGCATGTTTAACGCTCACAGATCATGATCGAATTAGACAATTCATACAGGAGTTCACATTTAGGGGGCTTTTGCCACATATAGAGAAAACAATTCGACAGCTTAATGATCAGGTAAGTCGCTCAGTAAAACAATTTTTGCCTACTTTAATAAAGGTGGTGTGCTGAATCTTATGTAGCGTGGATCTGAATATCCAAAAGACTTTTTATCTAAAATAGGATTATGTCCCTCCATATCTGAATTATTTTTAAAATTTTTTGATTTAGTTTTATGTCCCCATCAAATTTGATTTATTAGTGGTTGGTGTGTATAACTAAAACATGAATATGAAAACACATTGTTTTTCATAGTAATGTCAGTGTTTGGTACTTGCATGTTGGAAAAAATAATAAAAGTAGGCTTTTAAATATTTTAACCTATAACTTCCAATAGTCTGTTTAACTCTTTAGGTTAAAAACACTTTATCTGATTTTGGACTGTGCAATGCATCACAGAGACATTATTTCCCCTCATCCAACTTGAACTGAAACGAAGTCCTGTAAATTTTAACCGTGACTCAACTTGTGGCATGGTGTAAAATCATGCCAAAACAGTTATTTGTACACCAGCAACTGTGGTGATAGCACAGCTGTAATATAATTTAGTTACTTTAGCAAAGCCAATAACTTCTCCACTATCAACGGCATATGCCTCAGCCGGGAGGTACTTTAAGACACTGAGGTATTTTTTTTTCCTCAGCCTTGAGATACTTTGACTTCTCAATGCAAACGAATGCTCAATAGCAATGATGACCAAAAACCATTTACTTTCATCTGTGACTGGCCAGAATATTGTGCCCCTTCCTGTTTGCTTTGATCTGGGCAGAGGTTTCCAGGCTTCCTTTCAACTCTTACCTAGTAGTGATTCTGCCTCTCTCAGAAATAGAGGGATATGTACAACTGACAAAGTGCAGCAGCTTTCTTGCTTATTAAGATAAATTACAGTAACCACATTTTTCAAGTGCTTGCTCTCTTCTCCTGATATTCAAATGTCTCCATGGGATTGGATCTAGCTACTTGAGAAGTTGCTTCTCCCTCAGCATCCATTACTTCCCATGATAGCACATGGGAAGTGTTGAACAACAGGAGGCAGCTCCCGTGCAGGAGGCAGAACTTCCACAGGAGCTGAACCTAGAGCTTGAAAGTTACTCTCAGAAATCAAAGTGACTAGATCTCACTGCCTTGAGAACAAAATGCACACCTCCTCTTTAGAATTCTTTCTCTCAAAGGAGCAAAGATATTATGGTGATGAAGACCATATGAATACCAAATAGATTAAGGTCTATACGCACAGTAATCAAGTTACTTATGTTGCTTCCTAGAAGGAAGAAAGGGTTGCATTTTTGTTTTTTAGATACCTGCGATAAGGACCACAAGTACTTGAAGATTCCTCCCACATAACCTAGGATACTGTTACATGAGCACAAACTACTTCACAAGTAACTAAAAGCCATAATGCATCTGCACAAGGAGTTGGAGTGTGCCTTTGTAACTTACCTTTGTAACTCCTGATGTCTCAGTGCTAAACCATGCCATTGTATTAGTCTTTAAGTTTAATTTCTTTAGAAATATTGCTCCTCTCCAAACCCTTCTTTTGCACTCTGTAACCCTTTAAGTCATGTGATTAAGCTCAAGAGTTAGTTCATGATACACAGAATGACCTCACTGCACATTATGTGGTGGGGACCTTTGGCAGGTTTAGCGGAGAAGGTGTGTTGCCCCCATTAAGGGCGACTAGAGAGCCAACCTGTTACCTGCAACATGGAGGCAGCCCTATTCCAGGTCAGCGTGGGGACGCTGACCCATCCCCTCTCCAGGTGACTGGAAGCAGGGAGGGAGGGCTATTTGTGCCCAGGTCTGGGCAATGAAAGCCATCTTTTCACTGGGGCAGGCTGAGCAGCACCCACATTCCCAACCGTGAAAGTTGTTGAAATACAGGGTTTTAATCATGATCTTCAGAGGGTGTTAAGGTAGTCGCTCCTTCCTTCCTTCCTTTCTTTCTCTCTCCTCACCACCAGATTGGCCATGGTAAAGTGTACTGACAATTTTTACTGTTTCTATTAAAAAGGGAATTCATGCTTTATGTTGCAGTTAATTCAGTAACGTCATTGTTTTGTTGTAATTTTCTCTTCCAGTTAATATCCAGGAAAGGTTTGAGTCGATCTCTATTTTCTGCAACAAAAAAATGGTTTAGTGGCAGTAAAGTTCCAGAGAAAAGCATAAATGAGCTGAAAAATACATCTGGCTTGTTGTAAGTAAAACTATTAATCTTCCGTTTTGTAAGTTTTAGTGAAAATACTAAACATTTTGATTTGGGGAAGCTCCCTAATTATAGGTTATATCTTCAGAATGGTCTTAGTTTAAAGCTGACTTGACCAAAAATTTGGCAACATGAATGTACTGTAGAGAGCTTTCATCAACAAAATTTAGCAAAATTGCTGATATATTTACTAAAAATTTATGAACTTGGGCAAAACAAAGCATAGCAGAATTTTATTTGGTCTTAAACTTTTTTCCTAACCTGAATTAATACAGAGGGTGGAAGAAGTTTTTGTTTTTGAACAAATCAGCTTTACTAACGCAGCCTTTACACTTTCCTTATTTCAAATGCTTTTACAAAAAAAGTCCATGGACAAGGAGGCAGGAACACATCTTAAGAGAAATTAGATTAGCAATGGCCTTGTCAAAAAATTGCACTAGTTTAACTTAAATCAGTTTTTAAATAGTTTTAGTTAAAATGGTGTAAACCCATTTGTGGACATAGTTATTTTAGTGTAAGTGTCTTATTCCATTTTATCTTAAACCTGTTCCTAATCAACATGGAAGCTAAACCAAAATAAGCCTGGCTTGGGCTGAAATGAATGTCCACACAGCCTGTTTTTGGACTTAAAAGAGAGATAAGGTAAACCAGAGCAACTTTTTTGAGCACTATAACATGAAACTAATGCATGAGGGCAGATAATCCTCGCAAGCGGAAATTTAGGGACAAGCATTGCCCTGTAAACACCTGTCCCTAGCCACAGAGCTTGAAGCTGTTACTGGATGCCAACTAGCCAAGGTATAAAAAGAGAGAACCCAGTGCCAGGTTGGGTTCTCTACCTTCTCCCAGATTTTCTCCTCTTAATTCTCCCTCCCCAAAATATATTGGTCTCTCTAACACACTCACACTGGGACTTGGAAGTTTTACCAGAGGACCAAACATATTAGCCATAGACAGTTATGAGAGGTGTAAAGCCTTGCTGGCCAGTAATGCCTGTGACCTGAAACTGGGAAAGGAGCTGTGAATATACCGCAATTCTTACCACCATGCTGTGTGTGGATTCTGCTCAGGGTTGCTCTTTCATATGCCTCTATTCGTAGTAGAATTTGCACTGGTTTAAAAACTGGCATGGCCAAATGCATTTTTTTTCTAACTGGCTATTGGTTTAACTTGGGCCTGTAAATGTACTGATGCAGGCTAAACTGATAAGAGTGGGAATGGTGTTAGGCACAGCGCAGAAGAGAGACTGAACTCTCTGATGTCACCTCTTTGAGCTTTGGTCAACAGCTGGAGTAGTAGACTTATTTGGTTTTCATGGCACCCCCATAGTTAGGACAGGTGTAGGGGAGGAAAGGAGTCATCGGTGTGCAGCCTTACTATTTTAATTGGACAGTGGGGAATTACAGGGAGCTGCCATTCCCTTTATTGTTGCTGGTCCAGAATAAAGCCATTTGGTATTACAATGCTAATGTATCTTGGTGACTAATTGCAATTGCAGCTACTTAACATTTTGCATTGTTTAGGCCAACTTCATATTATAAAAGAAACTTCCTTGGCCTGGCTGTTGACCTAAGCTGTGTCTGCTCTACAAGTGCTACAGTAGCACATCTGCAGCATATACACTTACTACAGCAACGGAAAAGGTTTTTCCATTGCTGTAGTAAATCTATCCCCTTGAGCGGTGATAGTTAGTCTAACAGAATTCTTCCATCAACCTAGGTGCGTCTACAAGTGGGGATTAGGTTGACCTAACTTTCGAACAGAGTGCAACGTTTTTCACAGCTCAGAGTGGCATAGCTAGGTCGATCTAAGTTTCAGGTGTAGACCAGGCCCTTTCAGCTGGTGAATGATAGGTTTGAAGGAAGTCTCATACAGTCCACAGCCAGAAGGATGGTAGCTTCACTGTGTTTGAGTAGGTGTACTAAAATGTGCAAACATGGAAGTAATATAAACCTCCAGCCAACTCGTTCCTCCTAGGCTGGGATGAGTGGCAGGGAATGACTCTTCCTTTAATGTTGCAGTTTTTCTTTTTATACTGGCATCTATCTTGTTTGTGTCTTGAAAATTGGCACTTAAAATGTAAATGGTATTTTTGTTACAAATTGTTTGTTTTTGTGTATTTATAGGTATCCCCCAGAAGCACCAGAGCTTCAAATCAGGAAAATGGCAGATTTGTGTTTCTTGGTCCAACACTATGAACTGGCGTATAGCTGCTATCATACAGCAAAGAAAGACTTTTTGAATGATCAAGCAATGCTTTATGCAGCTGGAGCACTGGTTGGTACATTACAGCAATATAACCATTCTGTGCATTGCTTATAGTAATCTGTTTAACATTAACACTTCTTCTAGATAACAATATACAGCAAAAAGAAACTACAATTAAAAAAAAAAAAATCTTATTGGCTCCAAATATGAAAACATAGCCAAGTTTTTTGTGGATGCCAATATCTAACAAAATCACATCACACTCCTTAATATTTGTCATAGTTCTGTGTAGAGAATAGTTACTGTTGCTACTTAAATGTGTAGGAAAAAGCTTGAAACACTTATGAAGGAGAGCCTCCTTTTGGTATAGGTTAAATTTAAATAGTTCTCTTATGGTAATGTGCAAAGTAGTTCTTTTAATTATTTTGAAACGGATAAAAAAGATTAAATATTGTAGTATTTTTTACTTTGATTGTAAGATTTCAAATTGACAGAATATTTAGTGACTTGGAGCTTTTAGTAAATATATTATTACTATCAATGTACTAGTATAGCAAATATACTGGCATTTCCTATTAAGAGTCTTGAGGGCTTTACTCTGTTAATGCCTATATAAATCCCTTAGGCAATTTCTGTTACTGCCTTTTAGCTTCATGCGTAAATTCATGCTCCTACAATAGAAGAATACAAACCTAAATATTTGTAACTGAGATTACTAAAAAAAAATTTTTTTCTTTGTGCTCACACTTGCTGTTTTTTTTAAAGCTGTTGCCTAATTTGAGTCACTAATTTCCAGCAAGCATAAGTGTTTAATAGGTTTACTTGTAGCATGCGTACATACATATAATAAGTTGTACTTGAAAAGTTCACTTAGATAACCTCAAACATTTCAGTAATATAAAGTAGCTTAAATTTACATGGCACCTTTCTTTCAACTGCAAGGGTTCCAAACTGTTAAAAGTGTATATTTATAAACTATACATAGGAGTCTGTTCAGCTCCCATGGAAATGAACATATTTTGGGAGAGGTACAAGATGGGAGTTAAAACAACCAGAATTGTAGAGGAGGTGGTTGTGTAGAAAGAACCTGACATAACTGGAATTTCCCCAAGATGCTGACATTAACCTCCAATTTTGTGTTTTACAAAAAAACCAAGACTTAAGTACCACAAATGGAGAGAACCGCTGTATTGTGGGGAAGAGTGCATCTCCAGTAGGATAGTGACACTTGGATCTCTGCTACAGTAGTGATTCAGTGCTGACTTGGAGGGAAGGATACTGTCTACTGAATCATCAGCCCCATTTCCTGCAGCATCTAAATCTTCCTTGGAAGTTTCCCAGAGTAGTAAGAAGTATTGTGCCTGTTCAATTTATAACTCTTTAGAGATCACAGCCCTAAGTGGTATGGCGGGTGGCAAATAAACCAGCAAATGAAGTTCATTGCCACCTTACTGTAAATTAGGGTGTTATTGTTTAAACATCCAATCTCCCAAAACCTGAGAGTCAGTTCAGGTAAAGATTCTTTATGGCTGATGTTCGAAAATATCATTTTGGCAGCATTAAATTACATTTTTTTTTTTTAATCCTGCAGGAAATGGCAGCAGTATCAGCTTTTCTTCAGCCTGGGGCACCTAGACCGTACCCTGCTCATTATATGGATACAGCAATTCAAACATATAGGGATATCTGCAAGTAGGTGATGGCTTACCTTCCATTTCATCCAGTGAATGATGATATTCAGTACTATGGCCTAAGTTTGCTTTCACTACGCAGTAGTGCAAATTTAACATCACTTGCCTACCCTGTGTTCTAGCAGGTATATAAGAGCTACACCAAGGAAGTAAAACTGTGATAGAATTTATTCAGACTTTAGTTAACCTATTTACCTGTATGGTTGTGGGGTGGAGGAACACTTTGTTCTTGGCAGAATACAAGTTATTGGCAGAGATGTAATTAAAACTTGTGCCTCTGGTTCTCAGACTTGTATTCAGTCCATTAGACCACTTTGTTGCTTTGCAAAAGTTTATTTTAAGAACTTTACAGGGATGTTTTCCTAAGGAAAAAGCATTGTAACAGCTTTCATTTAATATTATCTAGATTAAAACATTTTTTTTTTGTCACAGGGAATTATTTTATCAGATTAAAATAGTGATAGCTCAGTGGTTTGTGCATTGGCCTGCTAAACCCAGGGTTGTGAGTTCAATCCTTGAGGGGGCCATTTAAGAAACCGGGGTAAAAAATTGTCTGGGGATTGGTCCTGTTTTGAGCAGGGGGTTGGACTAGATGACTTCCTGAGGTCCCTTCCAACCCTGATATTCTATGATTCTATGAAGAAACAGATACATGCATTCATACATATAACAAAATAATATATGCTAGTCAGGTACTACACAGATAGATTTAAAGGTTTGTCAGGCAGATTTAAAGGTTTTCTACAATTTACTCCAAAATTTTTGTTATAATGCATGTAATTAATTTCTTGTCCTCTTAGGAACATGGTGCTGGCTGAGAGATGTGTGCTGCTTAGTGCTGAAATTTTAAAAAGCCAGAGCAAATATTCAGACGCTGCTGCTCTTCTGATACGTTTAACCAGTGAGGTAGAGAAAACTTAATCTTTGTTTTCCCCACAGTAAATGGGTTTAAATAATAATGCTAATTTTTAAAACCAAATAGACTTCTTGTACATGGGTTCCTTTCAAAGGTGGAGATTTCCAGGGGCAGAAGCTAGCTGGAATAAAGTTTGAGTGTTGGGGTATAGCTCAACTGTAAACCAAGGAAAGTCATTTTTATATGCTTTTGTGCAACTTGTTACATAAATGTACCTCGTATACCCTGTGTTCAGGGTATTCCTCTTTCACTTGAAGTGATGTACATTATTTTTTATTTAAAAAAAAAAAAAAGCCTGACTGAATCAACATTTGTTAGTCCCTATCTTCATAATCTATTCTTTATGCTTGACCTCTGTTAGTATTTGAGAGGGATTAGACTTTAAAAAGCAGCACTATAAAAAGTTAGCATGTTATTCGCAAGCCATCTGTCTTCGTGTTGTAGGTGGGTGACATGATGTCAATAGAGGCTGTAAAACTAAAGAAATAAAGTTCTGTTTCACTTAGGGTATCTTCAGTAATTACTTGTTAGGGTCATTTTAGCTAAGTATTCAGTGTCACTTTCAGTTCTGATAAGTCTTTCTTTTAGCTGTAGAAGCTTGATAAACTGTAAGATGGGAAGTAGTCTACCTCACTGTGTGCACATGGCACAGCTCAAGATAAAGAAGTACAAAGGTGGTGTGCAGTTCACCCTTGTGCTTGCCTGCTCTGATTCTTGGTTGTAAGTTAGAGAAACTTGTTGGCTGCCAATGACCCCAAAAGTCGTGTTGTGGCATCCTTGCCACGCTCACTAACCTAGATTTGACAGCAGGGTGGAGGTTTGACGTAGTCATAGTGTCTTCTGTGCTGCTGGAGCATATTGTGTCTTCCCCACAACCCCTGAACTAGGGTGACTAGATGTCCCGGTATTATTGTCCTGATATTAGGAGCTTTATGTTATATAGACAAATATCTCCCCTCCTCCCCCTGGAAAAAGGTGTCCTGATTTTTTCATACTTGCTATCTGGACACCTGGGTTGATTTACCTGTGGCTGGCTATGCTGTCCCCATGGCCAGGTTGCACTGGCACTGTGGCATGAAATGGCCATACCACACACTAGCATTTTGATTGTACATACTTTTCAGTTCAGACTTTGGACAAGTTTCTCTAAATTTGTCCTCAGTGCTTATTTAACAACAAATTGTGTTGGTAATTCTGTATTTCCTTAATAGCTAATAGAACATCTATTCATTCATACCTCTTGATTTTTTTTACTATCTTAACTTAAATAATGGGGAAGATGTAATGACAAGTAGACATTGAAATTTGCATAAGGAAATTGAGTGCTGCTGACTGTGCTGAAGGTTTATTGTCTTTCTTTCATATCATGAATGATAGTCTTGGATGTTTTCAGTTGCACAAGATCTCTGTGATGGATGTAGTTACTCTAGTTATGATAAAGCCTAGTGACAGCCCAGAAAAATATTTTTAAAAAGTAGACTTGTGTATCTAATGTAATAAGAAAAATGTCCATGTGTATTTTAAAATAACAAGGTAGAGAACTACTCCATTTAGTAATAGCCTCATTGATTTTAATATATGTGGTTGTCAGAATCATTTTGTAATTCCCAAATCACTAATCTTTCTGGGATTGGTTGGTTTTGCCACACAAATTATCTGTTTGACTCCATTTCATGCATCCAATTAGGTGAAATTCAGTTAATGTAATTGTGTGCTCTTGGGTATATGATTTATGACTGTACCCACAATATGCAATGGGTGCTGTTTATCAGATATCTGATTTTCTTGCTAGCTTTAAAAACAATGACAACTCAGGTGTCAAAATGAAGTGGAACTAATGACCTTAAACAAATGGGTTGGGAAACTTACTGCCAACTTTTTCAGATAAATTCAGTGCCACAATTGCTTCTTATATATCTATACTTGTTCTTATGTTAAAATAAAATGTATTAAAGCTGACATTCTTGTTTTTAATTTTTCTGGGGGAAAAAATGGCAGCAGCTCACTTGGATGGGAATGGTAAGTGTTAGAAATTTCTGCCTGAGTAGCTGAAGGCTTTGGGAGTGTTGAAATAAACATGTTCTGTCAATCCTTTGTATATCAATCTGTTTCAGTATTTTCTAGGTCACTGATAAAGTAACAGGCTGCATATAAGGTAGAATTTACCCATGCTAGTGGATTTGTGTAGTTTTGAAGAGGGTCTCTAAAGCATAGCTGTACTCACCCTGAAATAACTTTATAAACATGAGGCTCAGATGAAGAGAACAATTTTAGTATTTCTTAATAAAACAGTTTTTCATGTGTATAATTTAAATCTATTTACAAGGTATAATATCTATAACAAATATAGGGATGAAAATAACTCCATTATATCTGTATAAGGAAGACTTCTCAACTTCCTTATTTATTATAGGTAGCATTCTTTGGCCGTTGATCCAGTTCCATTTTGATTCCTTCTATAAGCATTTGTGATGGGGCCACGTCCACTTTTGTATACAGTTATTCCTTGGCTCTGGAAGCAAGGACAGTACTAATAAAAAGAGAGATGCTGCTGTTTCGGATTACAGTAAATTTTTATTTTACTTCCAGAGTGGGATTCAGGAATTGGGTCTGCCAGTGGTTCTCTTGAAGAATACAGGGAGTCCTCGGACTTATGACACAATTCGTTCCTCAGAATTGCGTTGTAAGTTGATATGTTCTAAGTCGAAACTGCTTTTCCCATAGAAATCGATGGTATGAAGGGGGGATTGGTTCCTGAACCAAGGCTTGATGCACTATTTTCACCACAATAACCCATTTTTTTTTAACTAAATGAATTATAGATGACTAATGTTGCAACATCAATGTATTTACTGTACACAGTATTTTGTAAACAGCATTCCAATAAACATGTAAACTCTCATATTCTGCTCAGAATGCCAGCAACACAAGTTCAGGAAGCCAGGGAGAAGGGCACACATACTGAGCCTCAGCCAATCACTGTTCAAGCTTTCTAATTGGCTGAAGCTCAGCCTATTACTGGTCAAGCTTTCTGATTGGCTGAGCCGGGGGCTGGGAGCCAATCAAAAACAAGCAGCAACCGTACCCAGCAACAAGCTACCCCGCTGCCTCGAAGCCAATCAGAAGCAACCCATTCCAGCTCCATATCAGTATAATGCAACCAGGAAGTGATTTCAAGTGAACTTTATGCAAATCAAGAGTTGTAGGGGTGAAATGGGGAGTCAATTGAAAAGTGTCGCAATTGGCGTCCGACGTAAGTGGCATCCGACGCAAATCCGATGACTCCCTGTATGTGATTGTGTCATAAAATTCAGAAAACCAATAGGTTAAAATTTTAAGGCTTCATCTTGTACACTCCCATTCTGCAAGTAAAATACAGAAAACAATGATCAGGTATTCCATTTTTTCATAATGGCCTGTCTTCAAAACTGGGTGTGTGCCCACATAGGTGTGTAGGACAGGGAACCTGATCACATTGTAAATGCTTGCAGGAGGGATCAAAGTGCGGCTGGATCAACAGGCTGGAACATGTTGCCTATGATAAGTCTTCCAATGAGCAGTAATGTGATTTTTATTTTTTTACTGTTTAAAAGTCTTCTTCAGCTGAGCCTTATCTCTTATAAGAGTTTTTGTATTAGTGAGTATAGCTACACTTTGTTATTACTGAAGTTTCATTTGTATATTTCAAATTTGAGATTAATGATTTTTTCCCCTTTAAATAGGATTCTGACCTTCGCAGTGCCCTTCTGTTGGAGCAGGCAGCACATTGCTTTATAAACATGAAAAGTCCTATGGTTAGAAAGTTTGCCTTTCATATGATATTGGCTGGCCATAGGTATAGCAAAGCAGGACAGGTAAGTGTATTTCATATTCTGAAAAAATATGGACTGTAGGTTGTATTTAATCTGAACTGTGTTAAAAACAGCAACTTCCATGTCATGCTTTTGGGTAAAAATAACTTGTGACTTTGTAGTCCACTGTGGATGATATTCTGTATCAGAAAAATCATATAATATTGATCTCATTGCCGTTCTTGATTATCAAATTAATTCCTGCCTTGAACAAAGTGGTCTCTTACATCCATGTCTAAAGTGATGTTGATCATTACCCTGAATGAAATTTAAATAGTAATCCTCATTTCTATAGCGCTTTCCATCTGATCTTCAAATGCTTCTTAAACAATGAATTAAGACTATTCCTATTTCACAGATGGAGAAACTGAGTCACAGAGGTTAAAGATTTACTGTATCATAGCAGTTAGTAAAAGAGCTAGGAATGGAAACCCAGTTACCTTGACTGTGGCCTGTGTTTTAACCACTAGATAATACTTCCTCTTTTAAATCTGTTGAACTAATTGTCAATTAGTTAAATTCACAGGTGCAATTTTATACCATTTGCACTTTAACATGTATTTTTTCAATTCCAGCTTCTTGTAATTGTATTTACCTTAAGCTTAGGTTAATATAATACATTTGACTTCTTAAAGTTGAAACATTATTGTGGAAACCCCAATCCTGCAACTGGCTCTGTGCAGATGGATACACGTGGAGCCTCATTGAAGTCCCCGGGGCTGCATGCAGGCTCCGGCTCTGCCTGCATGCAGCCAGTTGTAGGATTAGGGCTTTAAAGGTAAACTGAAATTGTTTTTAAAAAATGTAAAAAAATATATACACCTCTACCCCGATATAACATGAATTCAGATAGAACGCGGTAAAGCAGCGCTCCGGGGGGGGTGGGGCTGCGCGCTCCAGCGGATCAAAGCAAGTTCAATATAACACGGTAAGATTTTTTTGGCTCCCGAGGACAGCGTTATATCAGGGTAGAGGTGTATATGTAATTTCTTTTCACAAGTCCTAAAACTGTATTTAAAACCAAAGTTTGAAGATGAACTCCTCCTTCATATTATTTGCCAAGACTAGAGTTTGGGGTTCTGCTCCTCCATGAAGTGACTGATTGTTGAACACTTAGAAGCTAGAATGTTAGCTCTTGGTTTTGTTATTGTAGTGAACTGTTGAAAGGAAAATGGAGCCCTGAACTCAGCACTTGTTAGAATTTTTTTTTAAAAAGCTGCTCCGTTCTGTTTGTTTAAACTAATGAAAAATGTACAAAATACTTGATAGTGGTAGGGTCATCTTAAATGAGGAGGGAAAAATGTGTCTCAATACAATATTAAGAGCAGCAGCTGTTTCTGCACTTGGTATATATGTATAAATACAAAATGAAACTGTTTCCCCTCTTCTCTGCATATCTTTAACTTGTTTTTGGTCCTGTTTCAGCTGAAGATATGAAGGAAAGTAGTCTTGACTACCCTCCACCTTTGTAATATAAAACTGTATGTTTGAAATATCTTTCAATGTGGGTTTCAGCGACTCTCAGAATCTTTCTTTCTTTCATAGCAAGGTTCTTTTCCTATTGTAGGTTTTCCCCTGTGTTGATTAGCAATAGGACCAGACTGTTACCACAATAGTGGTTTTTTTTTATTTTTAAATCTCAGTAGTTCTACCACCTGAAATGCTCGTTATGTGATCGCCCGTATGACCCTTTTTTTTGGCTGAGCTTAATGAAATCCACAGCTTTTCTATTTCTCTAATCAGTGTGACTCCAGCTTGCTTGGGCTTTATATTTTCTAGGATCTGACTCTCCAATAGAGGTTTGCTGCTCCACACCTAATGGCAGATTGATGCATAAGCTTCTGTGGAGAGAACAGATAGGCCCTCCAGCTGCACAGTATACCAACTACTACAGTTCTAAACAGACAACAGCATGGCTTGTTAGGATTCCTCCATACGCCAGTACAATTTCCCCTCCCTAAATATATTAAAAAATCAGTCCTATTATTTCAGTCCAAACTATCGTAGTTAAAATGTCAGGTAAATGGGGTTATTACTGTCATTTTTGCATGACTTTATGCAATCATACTTGTTATGTGCAATATTATCTATAGTTCTTAGTTTTTAGTGCACCAGCTCTTAAGTTTACATTAATTAAATCAACATTTTAAAGATGCCAACTTGAAAAATCACATTTGTTTGATTTTTCACATTTATAACTATAATACTTTCCCCCTCCCCATACCTTATTCATTTTATGTACTTGCACACTATGTATAACCAGTGTGCATTTTGGTTGCTGTTCAGTTGCTCTTTCAGTGTCATGTACTAGCAATTTAGGTAGGAGGTGCTCTTGAGCCCTCTCTTGTACTCTCTCTAGCAGGGGAAAAAATCTTTATAAACTTCAATAGGGGAGTAGAAAAACCCTTCTTAAAAATAATCAGTTCCAGGGCAAACTATTTAAAGATGTGCTATCAAACTTGATTTATTTTAAACTGATTAGTATTACAAAGTTAAGTTGACCTTGTCTCTTGAACAGATTTTGGAATAAGCTTAAAATATTGGTTGATTCACTCTGTACAATAGCATCATCCTCTTTTGGGACTTCTGTTATGGAAAGCTAGGATTCAGTTTGTGACTAGGACTTCATAGGAGCCCCTCCAGCAGAAGTTGCTATCTAAAGAGCTACCAATTCTCTAAATTGGTAGAGCTGCTGGAAGGCCATTGGTCTTCTTCCTGTGGGGATTGTGTTCACCTTTTTATTGCTAGGGATCAGTTCCCACAGTTCTACTGGAAGAAGGTGGTAAAATTTGGGAATCAATCTAGCTCAGCACATAGTTGTGTAGCTTTTTCCAAAGGGTGTATAGTGGCTGTATTTTTCTGTTGGTCTGAAGATGGAGCTGCAGGTCTAAATTTGTGCTTTGACATGTATTGGTATTTCAAGATTTTTACATTTTATATATTCAAATATGTATGCTTAACCTAACTTTATTTGCAGTGTAATGGAAACCAGCCCAACCTGAAACATTTATTTTTGGCTGATTGCTGTATGTGCTATCAGAGCTAATGAAACTGCATCGTTTGGACTTCCATGTCATTTACAATAGCCAGCGAAATGTACTTATTGTAATCAACTTTACAGGAAGTTGTGTCAGATGTTTGGACTGCAAATAAAAGCACAAATTAATCAGAACTCTCCATATCTGTTTAGGAAATTTAATAAAACTGTCATTTCTCTAAGATCAGAATTTATACAAAATAGTGAAGGACAACTAAACCAATAAAATTTGGAGTGACCATTTCATTAGTGTTGTAGTGGCTGCAGTGACATTCACATTGAATTTTGCAGTAGCCTTACTTCTGCTCTCTCACTGGTATAAATCTGAAGTCACTCCACTGAACTGAAAGCTAGTGTGGGATAAGAATCAAGCCCCTAGTGTTAATGGTAGTGTCATGTTTTGTAGTGACCTCCCCAGGAACTCTGAGCCTAATGGAAGTATCTCAGCTTTCATGTCTGTCAAGTAAAACATTAAAAAAAAATTAATTTTTAAATCCCATTTGTGGTACTGGCCTATTAGGTGAAAAGCAGGGTGTAACAATTTGTGTTGATGCAGCCAAGAAATGGCCACAAATTGATGATCACTACTTTAAAGACGTGTTCATGATTTAAGATCATTAGAGACATTGATCAGTTGTGTTTTTTGTTATCTACTCTGAATCTTAATTGGCAGTTGAATCAATCCTAAAGAATAGGTCCATAGTATGTGGGATTTCCTGACTTTGATGTGGGATCATGTAGAAGCCGGAAGTCTGCTCTATGGTGACAGAAATTAATGGCTTACAATACCAATGTTTCACAGTTTTTTCATTGTCACTTTTTAGTTAACATAAGATATCCCAGAATTACGTCCTGGGGAGAATTTCAGAAAGGTTGGTTAGCTTATTGGAGTGCTGAATTCCACTGATAGCCTTGTTATTTAAGGGTGTTACAATTTAGTTTACCTCAGTTCATATTTTAGCATTGTAGTTCATCTTTAAGGCTCATTCTTTCTTTCGCATCCCAGTGTATCTAGGTGTGTATTTTAGGGCACTTGAAAATTTTTCTTGCATACAGAGAGGAATTCCAGTGGGAAAGCTTGGGAGACCTGGGTTGAATTCTTGCTCTGCCATAGACTTCCTTTGTGACTGTGGGCAAGTTACTGGGAACTGGTCTACACTGGGGGGCGGGGGGGGGAGAATCGATCTAAGTGACGCAACTTCAGCTACGTGAATAACGTAACTGAAGTCGACGTACTTAGATTGACTTACCGTGGTGTCTTCACTGCGGTGAGTCGACTGCTGCCGGTCCCCTGTCGACTCTGCCTGTGCTTCTCACTGAGCTGGAGTACAGGAATCGACGGGAGAGCGCTCGGGGGTCGATTTATCGCATCTAGACTAGATGCGATAAATTGATCCCCACTGGATCGATCGCTGCCCACCGATCCGGCGGGTAGTGTAGACATACCCTAGAAAATAGTATTACTGGTGTAGCTAGGTCTGTTAGAGGTGTGAAAAAAATTACACAGCTGACAAAAGCTGTAGTGTAGATGCAGTTATACTAGCAAAAAAGTCCTTTGGTCATTCTATCTTATTTGGTTTGGTATATAAGCTGCGTCTCCACTAGGGGGTTTGCCAGCATAGCTTTACCAGGTGTGTGTATATATACTTTTAAAGTGCAGACAAGGCCTTAGGCCCTCTGAGCCTCATTTCCCACTTGTAAAATGGAGATAATACATCACAGGGGTACTGAGAGGATAAATATATTAGTTGTGAGGCACTTAGGGTCATGAGAGAGGAGAGACGTTTACTTGACCTTTAGGCATATGTACAATTCCTGGAGTATTTGTTTCAGTATTTTAGCACTTCTGAGTGCTTGCATGCTTCAAGTTAGTAGCCATTACTGAATATTTTAAAATTTATTGCATTAGAGTTTAGATTTAATAGTGAGTACTGCTGTGCTAATTTAGATGGAAAAGGCCAGAGGGGTTACTATAAACCAGTCATTGTCCAACATTAAACATTGTTAAATGAGGCCCAGGGTTTGGTACACAGAGACCCCAGTCTGCTTAATACCATGGCAAACACATAATTAAAAATCTTTTAAAACATTTTATTAAAGATCTAGTAAAGAAGGAAAATCAGTTCAAGCATTTGAAATGTAAAGTATTAAGGCTTTCATTTTAACAACATCCCTTGTTCTTTCCTTTTCGCTGGACAGGGTTTTTAAGGGAAAACACCCCCTTGTTTGACAGTCTTAGATGCTACTAAAGGTGGCAATAACTGTCCTTTGGGGGGGAAGAAGTTAATTGAGATGAGCTGCTATTGAAGTCCTTTAATCCCAGGAGGTGTTGGGGAGTCATCTGGGGCTGGTGAAGTCATCTGGCTCCCTCTCTCTGGTCTGTTCTAGTCAGGACACTTCTCAGGATCAGGATGATGGAAGTCTGGGGTCCCAGGAAATAGTGGGGATGACAGCCATCATGGTGACATTTGCTCCAGTAGCCTTCATCTCTTCCCCTCTGAGCTTTTTTGCTCTTTCAAGAGTTCTTCTCTCTTCTCCCCCCCCCCCCCCCTTTTTTTTTTTTTTTTTTTTTTTTTTTTTAAGGACTCATAAAGGGAGCTATGGGTGGAATACCCCATCCCCTCATATTTTTTCCGACAATTAGGCCTGATATCCAACACACCAATTTTAGTTTATTAACTTTTGGCTCTACGTCATCTGTCTAACAAACATAATTTCAACAGTCCTTGGATTATATCAATATGGCCTTTTTGGTTTAGACTAATCCAGTTTCTCTGACTGGTTTTCTTGCATCTTTTCCCATTCACATTTGTTGTTATACATTATTGTGACATGTTATGAATTTACACTCACTTTTTCCAGTTTGTAGGCCCAGTTGTCATAACAGTACTGTGTTATAGCAACAATCTTTCCATTCACCTCTGGGTTAATGCTGACTGGATATTGTGTTGTACCCCCTTGCTTGCATTGCTCTCCCACCTTCAATAACAATTTAAAAAAATTGTTGAACTAAAATCTTCATTGATGTAAATGATTTCTCTATTTGACTCTATCTGCTAATGTTAAAATTGAATTGGTTCAATCACAGAGTAATAATATTTGAGGAACAGTTTCAATTTCATTTTCTTGCAGAAGAAACATGCCTTGCGTTGTTATTGTCAAGCCATGCAAGTTTACAAAGGGAAAGGTTGGTCTCTTGCAGAGGATCATATTAACTTCACAATTGGTCGTCAGTCTTTTACACTTCGTCAGCTTGATAATGCTGTCTCTGCCTTCCGGCATATTTTGATCAATGACAGCAAACAACCTGCTGCTCAACAAGGGACCTTCCTCAGAGAATACCTTTATGTTTACAAGGTAAGATGTACATTTTTTTTATTCTTAAAGATTAGTTTAAATTCTGTTAACTAATAATCGTCTTACATTAAAAACAGAATTCAGTGACTTAGCATTTACAATATCTTTTCGATTCTAATGTCATTCTTCAGTTTCCAAGCTGAATTTTACTATGTATTTGAATAATTAAAATACTATATTTACTTTCACTGCACCAATCTTATGCATATTACAGCAGGGGTTCTAAACTTTTGTTCTGAGGTTCCCCTTCCCCCCACATGCAACAAAAACTCCACGGCCCACCTGTGCTACAACTACTGCTTTTCTGCATACTTAAAAGCCAGGGCTGGCGTTGGGGGATAGCAAGCAGGGCAGTTGCCTGGGGCCCCAATCCACAGAGGCCCCCACAAAGCTACATTGCTCAGGCTTCGACTATGTCAGCCAGGTCAACATGGGAAATGGAAATATTGGCTTCTGCAGCTAACTCAGTCGTCCTCACCTTCATTTTCCTGTTTGTAATCTGGAAAAGAAAAACAAGATTTCCTGCGTTTCCAGGTCCCAAACGATTTCTCAATTTGGAATGAATTAGTCCAAAAGAAAATATTCTTTCTACACCAGCAGAAGAAGCTACTGCTGTTAAAAGTGAGATGATCTGTTCAACAGTCTCTGAATCCAAGTGCTTAAGTGACTTCCACCAGTTCACTGGTGTGACTTTCTTTAAAACATCATTAGCAAACATATATTTCTTGAATGGTTCACCCTTAGCTCTGAAGTTTATTATAGTTGGCATTATGGAGGGATGGTTGCTGAAAGTCCATATCATAGCCAACTCCTCTTATTCAGCAGTTAAGGTTTGACCCTGGTACCGAGTATTGAGAATATTTGCAAGAAAATGAGCTGGAGATAGTGTTGCCCCATTTGTTTTTTAATGCTTGTAATTTAACTCTGTCATTGCATATTTCTCTTTTTTAAGATCTCACTCAGTTCCTTCCAAATTTCAACAGCGTCAGCAATAAAACAGCTATTTCCCTGTATTTTGTTCAAGGCTACAGAAATAGGCTTCTGGGTACTCGGCATGTGTTCAGCATTTCTCTCTCTTAAGCCTAATGTTGAGAACTTTGGCTGTGACAGTGCTATCTATTTTTTCACAATTTTGTTCACAAACTGTTATCAGATTAGGCCAATTCTTGATATAGTGCTCAAAACAGTCCACTACTGAGTTCCATCACACACCTTGTGGGAGCGTTAGCTTGGTTCCTCCCACCTTTTTCAGAGCAGCTGCTGCAAAGTGGTTGTTATGGAAGTATTTTGCAATTTCAATAACATTTGCCTTTATTTCTGGAACAATGAAGTCTTTGGCTAGGAGGTGCATCAAATGAGCACTGCAACCGTATGTTATTAGCTTGGGACTCTCTTCTAAATTTCTTCTCATCTTGGATACATTTGCAGCATTGTCTGTGACCAAGCTGCGTACTAGACATTTGGATTTTTTCCCCACAGTTTGTTATAGATTTTACTGCTACTTCTTGTAAGTATTCTGCTGTGTGTGTAAGGAAGACAGTCCCTTCTTCTGTTGTCACACAAGCACATACAACCGGATCATTGTGGACAAGACTCAGGGTAACAATTTTACCCTCTAGACCTTTTGCACACTGCTCAATTTCTCTTTCATACACTTTATCCAGCAATTTGCCTGCGACATCTGCTCTGTTGGGTGGACTGTATCCTGGCCTTAATGACTGAACCATGTTAATGAAGTGTGCATTCTCAATCATACAGAAAGGAAAGTTCGTTGCATAAACAAACTGGGCAATTTTTTCATCAATTACCTCTTTTTGTAATCTGATGGTTCTTATCACAAACTTACCTATGGTTGTTTCTGGATGATAGAGATTTTTTTCTTTTTGCTGCAGGTGATAGATATACTGTGGCTATGTGACATACATGATGTGACTGAAACACTTATCATTGGCTGATAACGCTGAAACTATAGAAAATGATGGTGTCTTGAAGGTGGATATAGAATCCTGTATATTGAGGATGGATTCTCCTAAACAAAATAAGTCAATGCAGTTATTTAATTATTATTACCATACTGCTCATTTAGTATTACTCATTGCATTTATTGACACTCAGTACTACTTTAAAGGTGAAATTGTAAAAGGAAGATCTGCCTATTTCAGTTATTTATTTTTTATCACAACTGCATCTAAAATGATAGTATCATAGAGTAACAACTATATTTTTTGCTCAAACATGAGAATTCAAGAATAGTCCAGAAGGAAGACAGGCAGTCCTTAAGAAAAAAGTATGAAATAAAAACGTTTACCAACCCTGAAGATCCTGCATGTTCAGACATGTTCCTTTCATCATCTTCAAAGCAGCTTCCTCCTGAGAAGGAACACTTCTCATTTGGGCAACCAGGCCTTGCATTTCTTTGTTACACTGTTTGCATTTTACACGCATGCCTGTCTTACCCACAGGTAGAGGAACTTCATTAAAATATTCCCAAACTTGGTCTCTTTTATGGCCTGCTGCCATTATAGGTTTTCTCTTCTAGTGAGAGAATGTTATGGTAGATCTCAAATCAATGAAGGCTACACTCAGAAAGACCTCAAGACTTCTGGAATATGCTGCTCAAACAGTTTCACTTTTGTTTCTATTGCCTGTCCCCCTCTTCTCACATTTATCTCCAGACTTCTTCTCCTTGTCCAAATCTATTGCACCACCAACAATCTTCTATTCATTGAAATTTTTGAAACTTTGCACTTTTAGAGAGAGGTAAGGGATTGACACTCTGTACACAAATTTGCAGTGGGACAATAGGGTTGAGGTCTGTTATTTTTCACCTCAATATTTATCTATTTATTTATTTATTTATTTAAAAATATTTTTGCTGTTAACAAGCCTGTTATCTCTGGAGACACAAATCCTCAGTTTGAGAACTGCAAAAACTAAGCATCTCTGGTTGCTTCTAGACTGAGCACTGAGTCCCATGAGGTAGATAGAAAGATTAACCTAAATAATCTATACAGAAGCCCCTGGAGCCCCATAATATTGGGTCCATAATCCATGAACTATTGGAAGTCATTTACAAAACTTTTTTCTTAAACATTACATGAATTTATTGTCTCATACTGTAGAATTAGAATTTATAACCCATATTCCATGATGATATCTTTGAGCTATAAAATATCTTAATTAAAACTTGGTTTACATAGCTTTTTTCCTCAAAAAGCATTTTATCAAAAAAATCCAAATTTATTGATTTTATTTTTCATCATTTATTTTTATCCACCCTGGTAACCATTAAAGTTAATTGGCAACCTTATTTAACTCTTATTCCATCAAATTTTAAAAAAGTACCTGACCAGTTATAAAAGTATTACTAATGTGTGTACCCTTGGGTATTTCAAACATCTGTCAGAGAGGGTAGCGAATAGAGTTCATGGTAGTGAATGGGTTTTTATCTCCAAATCTACTTAGCATTTACTTCTAATTCAGTGGCAATATGCTTAAAAGAATGCCCCAACTGCAGAAAATCACCATAGATTAAATTAATGTATGCTTTAGGGGAATCTAGACTCGAATTTCCAGCCAGCAATGGGTTAAAGTAATTATAAGATGATGTATTGCATCTACTTGATAGTAGAGTGTACCTGACTCTGAAACATAGTACACCATATACTCCTGGGGGAATTCTGCACTATTGCGCATGTGCAGAATTCATTTCTGGTCACAGAATTTTTTTTCCGCTCAACATACATTCTGCCCAAGAAATGCTTCAGTTCCGCCTTTCACCCACTAAAGGCTGCTGTAGTGCCAGAACAGCCAGCAGCATGAATGCAGCTGGCTGCAGGCTCTTCTGGTGCCACAGTGGCCTCTGGTGGGCAAAAGGCAGAACTGCAGCACTTCTTGGGCAGAATGTATTTTCTTTGGGGAAAAATAATATTGTGCGCAGTGGCCCAGAATTCCCCCAGGAGTAGAAGTTCATCACAGCACCCTGCCTGCAGAGGCAGGTTAGGACGAACAGAGTTGGGCACACCGGTCTGCTAGTTGCGGGTGGGGGGGTTGCACAAACTCCAGTTCAGAATGACTAGTGAGGGGGATAGGTTGGGGGTGTGGGCTCAGGAGCTAGAGGGGTGACAGCATTAAGCCAGGGGCTGAATGGGAGTAGTGCTGCAGGACCACATGGGGGGCAGGGATACATCAGGGTGGGGGGTTGGGGCAGATGTGCCTGACTGAATGGGAGAGGCTTGGGTCAGCCAGGGTCTGCATGGGGGAGGCTCCCCAACTCTCTAACAGTCCCTCCCCCCCAAAAAAACAACAATCCCACCCTGTTCCGTACTTCTCCCACACAAATCCAACAACCACGAAGTTCACTCAAGTTCACTCAAGGCCCTCATCCTCCGCTCCTCTGTTACCCCTGACTCCCCAAGCCTTTGTACTGCTTCTGACAGGTGCAGGAAATATGTTTGAGTAATTCATTTAAACTACAATACAGAAAGTTCTGTATTAATATGCCTGGTAAGAAATAAACAAACAAATTGTCAAAAAAATTACCAGAATCTTTTTGTGTGTGTCTGTATTGTTACAGACATACTTGCTGACAGGTATTTTGAAATAAATTACCAAAATTGAAACTGGCATGATTATATTGTGTTATTTTAACAAATAAAATATGCAGAATTTTCATATATTGTGTGCAGAATTTTAAATTTTTTGGTGCAGAATTCCCCCAGGAGTAACCATAGAATGAATGTACAGTGCACACAGTACCACTTTGTGCACACAAATTAAATGTCAACTTGAAAAGCTTATTTTAAAAAAGAACAAGTTAGCAAATTGTATATGTAGACTTTAGTATTAGAAATGAACACTTTATACCTTAAATATTTTAAAATTAGTATCTTCTTTACTCAGGATCCTCAATTAATGAATTCTTTGCAACCCTTGACCTAAAATCCTCCAAAAAAGCACATAGGAGAGAAGCTGATGTCCACATGTTTTGCTTATAATTGCTTTTGAATTTCCAGCTATATTATTGCAGTAAGCTTACAAATATTAAGTTAATATTTGAAAGCTTTGCAGATTCAAAATCATTAATATACCTGGAGACTTAATTAGGAATGGTTCCACCTTAACCTGGATTTTAGAAATATATCATACATACATACATGGTTTTGTTTTTCCAAAACATCTCTGCACTATAGCAACCTATTTTGAAGGGGCCTACTTAGAGGGCTGTTACATTTACTCTTGTCCCTACTACCTGTGTAGAGAAGATTAAATTCAGTGAGCAGGATCTTGGTGTCTTTGCGTATGATTGGGATTTTGTAACTTGTATGCAACAACAAACTTTTCTTTGTTTAGTAGGAAAGATTAATTTGAGAAATAGTCTCTTAATTTAAAATATAAAAAAGATGGAAAGTACAATAGATACCCAACTATTGCTAATTAAAATAAAGAATGTGAGCTTGCATATCACAAATAGTCAGAGTACAGTATAAAGATGGGTATCATTAAAATTACCCAGTAATACAGAACCAATGTACTTTGTTACTAAATATTGAAACAAAGGACAGAGCTTTACAACTTAATGTGTTTATCAGAAACCTGTTGACAAAGTTAAGATTAGAGTGGTGAACTAAAATGTTGATTCTTTTATTTACGAATCTTTTCATAGATTCCCCACTCTTAAAATAGGGAGCTATGTCCACTCCTTTCATTTCACGGTTTAATTTTTGAGGTTTTTTGAACTATTTTGGAAGTTTGTGCAAAGAAATGGATAAAGCATAGCATAAATACAGTAGATTTTAATTTTTTTGCTTTTTATCAGTGCATAGTAACTGAACTAGTAAGTTGGTCTCCAGTTTTTGAACATGGATTGTAGAAAGCATATTTATGTAGGGGCAATGCATTTAAGAAAAAAAATCCCCTCTTCTCATTCCAGAATGTAACTCAGCTATCACCTGATGGCCCTTTACCACAACTTCCTTTACCATATATTAACAATTCTGCAACACGAGTATTCTTTGGACATGATAGGCGACCAGCAGAAGGTTAGTGAATTTTCAGTGATTGTTTGATACAACTGTTTTATGATGGACCAAAAGAGATATGAATAAGGTAACCTACAAGAAACTTCAATATTTCTTCAGCCTAATCAGTTTTATTCTTTTCCCTTCTTTAAGTCATCTCAGCTTTATTTATCTCATAAGCTAGTTTCATAGGTCAAACTTACTTATCTTGTTGCTGATTACTAAATTATATTAAATTTCCCTCAATCAGGGGAGAATCTTGGATTTGAAATGCTTTCACCTCCGAAGTTAGGACCTTATCCCTGAGGTACAATCAGTACCCATTTCTAGTGCCTTACCAAATTTACAGTCCATTTTGATCAATTTCATGGTCAGGCGTTTAAAAAATTGGTCAATTTCATATTTTCAGCTGTTCACATCTGAAATTTCATGGGGGGCCCAACCCAAAAGGTACCCGGAAGTGAGTCTGATCCCCCCGGCTCTCCCCCCAGCTGTCATGCAAGGGAAGGACAAGTCCTGTCTCGCCCGAGCCCAGCAGGGACTCTCAGCTAGGAGCTCCCTGGCTGAGGCGCTTCCAGTAGCTGGGGGATATCGGACCCACCTCCACAAGTCTCCTCCAGCTGCAGGAATCTCCAGTGCTGGGCAGGGAGCTACCTGCAGCAGTGAGATGCACTCGGAGGTGGGTGTGATCGCTCTCTCACACCCCAGCATGGCCATGCAAGGGAAGGACAAGTCCTGTCCCTTCCCAGCCCAGCAGGGACTTGCAGCTAGGAGCCCCCCTTAGCTGGGGGACTGCCAGTAGCCAATGGGAGATCAGATTTCACTGGGAAAGGCTTATTTTATGGTCTGAGACACATTTTTCACGGCTGTGGAATTGGAAGGGCCCTACCAATTACCCTCTATTTTGATTGCTTTTAGTAGCTTGGGAGTAGCTACTGAGTATTCCAATGTGAGTCCATATAAACATCATGAAATGGGTCCTTAAATAATTACACCTTATGGAAACTTGGAAATGAACATATTTTTTTTTTAAAGGATATTTACAAATAAAATGAAGAAAAGTTTTGTTACTAATACTTAATCATCTGCTCCTTATTCTCCAGTATGCCACAACTATTTCCAAGCCAAATAGTTATGTCAGGAGCAAAAGGTTCTGATGCCATCAGAAGCAGAATTGGCAGCTGGGGAATTTGCCCAAACCAGAGATTTGTATTTCTTTGAGGGCCTTTGTACATTCTGACTTCTGTCTTCAGCTATTCAGTATTATTATTAATAATAATGTAAGGGGTAACTAGAGTTATTTCTAAAATGTGTCAAGGAATTCATAAAGGGTCGGTGTACTTTTTTTAATGGAATGCAGATAAATCAGTATAAATTAATAGGTTACCTGAAGCATATTTCTCCAGTTCTGTATCCATAATCCTTAGGATATTGGTCCTCTTAGCTCTGATTGCTCAGTCTGTGGGTTCCTTCCTGGGTCCCTTTAAAGTTCTATCTTAGGATTCCCCTTTGCCATCTTATATTCATAGAATGATTATATTAGTCATTATTGATCAATGTGGGCACAGCAGACAATTACAGGCGATTGTAAGAAATTCCAGAAGGGGTAACCTGCTAAATTAATTTGTTTGTTGGTGTACTCTCGTTCTCCCAGCTGATGACTTCAAGCTTCTGATTGGCTGGAGTGATGGACCTAGAGTTCGTGGGAACTGAAAAGTCCCACTGTTTTAGACATCCAGTCAAATCAACCCAGTCAAGTGGCTCTTTTCGGTGACACCAACAAAAGAGAACTCTGACTGACTCCTTGTATTGTCCTTTTTAATTTCCAAAAGGGAAAGTTGATCCTGCAATGTCCCTCCGAGGCAGTCTGAACACTTCTACATCTGTCTAGTGCCAGGCTTTGTTAGTCTCAGCCAGTGAAATGCTGATCCACCATGATCTGTGATCTTCCGTTCACTGAAAGTATGGAACTGTTGACCAATATGGGGAGGCTCTTGAGTGTGCGAGAGAGCTTTCAAAGGAGCTGGACTTGGACTGTACAGAGCAGTCCTTCATTAGGCAAGAACAGCTATGGATCTAGAAGTTTCAGAAATAATTTGACTTTGCTTTTCTTCAGTAAGTTTTGCACACACAATCATACATACAAAAGAAGTCCCGGGCTGGATCTTTTTTTATACACGTTGCATATAAAACTTGGCTCTTATGGATAGGATTTTCAAAAGTGTCCAAATGACAGCGCAAGTCCCACTGAAACAGTAGCCTTTAACTAGTTGAGCACGTCTACATGCCTTGTCTATACTAGACTTTTAAAACACATTAGCCATGTGTTAACTAACAGTGCTAACATCACACTTTAAATCATACTCTAGACACGGTCAACAGGCCTGTGGAGTTTATATATTTGGCAGTTAAAGGTGCCGTTACTGAAACTTTTTTGCCAACCACCACACGGTTACACCAAAAACTGGAAAAAGTTTGAAAGATAAATGCATAATGTCCAAATACTTTTCACTCTTTAGTGTACATAACTTTCCAATGTTAGTGAGTTATGTACATATACTAAGGGAGAACATATTTCCTGTCACTTGAGGGAATTTTAAAGTTTAAATGTTAGGAAACCTCCATTTAATAGTTCTAGAGGATTTTCTTTCGGAATTGACTTATTGGCATAAAATTTACAGAAGAAAAAGAGATTTGCCTAGCCTTCTACACAGCTGTATAAATTATTTTACTTGATTCTTTTTTGTAAATAAGTGAAACATGCTTAATGTAGTGATTGTGTCTGAACAAAATGTAATGTATTTATAGTAGAGTAGTAATGACTAAATTTTACTGTGTATTTATGATCCTTGGAGGAAATATGTTAAGTAGGCTAGGAAAAGAGCACCCAGAGACACATTGAAAAAGATGAGTGTGATTGTTATTTCTTAAATGGCTTGGATCCATATAAAAGTCTTAATGAAAACAACTTTAACTGAGGAAATGTGTAAAAGAAACTGTCTTGATGCTTTTATATATGCTATGTGGTAGTGTTCAGGTGAAATAGTAGTAATGTTAAAGAATAAATTAGCCTGAAAAGTAAGAGAACATAAGGAGATCCAAAAAAGGTCTATATTTTGCAGTAACGTAGAGGAGTGTTAACATGAGCACGATTTTTATGAATAATTGAATGATCTGTACTAAGTTACTGAGCAAGGCTAGAAATATCTATATTTGACAGTTAATAGCAACGATAAAATTATTTTAGTTAACAGGTAATCACTTTTTGGATTAGGTGTTATGTAGCATTCTGAACTTTTAAAAATATTAAAATTCAGTTATACAAAATTTTATTACCAGAGTATCTTCTTTGTAACGGGGTTTATCACAAGCCCATTTTTAGATGCATATAATGAGTAAGAGTATGTGCTGGTCTAGATTGGCATGGGGTGTTTTATTCTGAGAGCCAATTTGCTTTAATAAATTTCCAAGAGGTGTGGGTTGGAAGGTACAACACTTGCCAATGTTGACCCTCATATCTGCTATTGGAGTATTTCCACATGTTCTGAAAGCATTTTCTCCACCCTCTGCTATTTGTGGTTGAAGGCCTACACATTAATGTATAAATCTTCCATGTCCTCCCACCCCCATTAGGTCATCACTAAACCAACTTTGGGAAACATTAGTGTAGATCTTCATAATATAATACTTCCTTGTGTTTCTTACATGTTTTATTGCGCAATGGAATTCTTTATATCGGCATTAACTGTCATTGGCATTTGAGTTAGCTCCCATTACAATTATTTGGGTAGTCAGCATCTCAGAGCTATTGATTCAGGCCCAAGCAACCGTTGCTGCATTAGTTACATGCTTTACCTTTTGAAGATTTTCTTCACAACCATAACAGATTTCACTTTTTAAAAGTAAAAGCTAAGACTCTGAACAGTTGAGAGGTCTGCCTGCACTATACACGTTGGGAAACACTGATCATAATCTTCAACTGGTTCTGTTTATCTGTGTGCCAAATAGCCATAATACTTACCTGCCTCCTCAGGTAAAATGTCTGAAGTGTTTTGAGATTTTCAGATAAAATGCTGAGTGCAAATTAATATTTTTTTTTCTGTATTTTAGTGTAGACGTTTAGTCTATTTTTAGTTTATAAACTGAACTTTTGCTGTCGTAAATTAGTTTAGCTTTTATTCCGCTTGCACTCTTAAGTGTGTGTTAAAAAAGATTGTGTGAAACTCTTGAAGATTATCTGCACCTACGTTTTAAAATCAAATGGCTTGAGAAAATGTGAATACATTTTGTGAGTGTATTGTACTTCACAAGTGCACGTGAATAAAGTATCTCACATGACCCACTTGGGAAGTGTTATCAAATGAATCAGATATAAAACTTGATTATGAACCTTGGGTCCCTGGTAAGCTGCCAATACAACGCTTTATGTTGTAACTGTTGTGCACCACTCTTATGCCACTTAATTTTATTTGTTCTCTACTAGGTGAAAAGCAGGCAGCCACACATATAAGTCTTGATCAGGAATATGATTGTGAATCTTCTCACCAATGGAAGGAGCTTGAAGAACAGGTTGTGGCTGTAGTTAACAAAGGAATAATACCTTCAAACTTTCAACCGACGCAGTATTGTTTGAACAGCTATTCAGATAACTCCAAGTTTCCACTTGCTGTAGTAGAAGGTAAATTTATAGTGTATGGATTCTTTAAAAATCATAAGTCTTTAAATGTAATCTGCAGGAAGTTTTCCATTGCTGTTGTGGAACTAACAAAGCTACTTTTTGTGATATGGCTTGTTTGAGGTGACTATTGAGTTTCAGCTCATATTAGGAATATATAGCCTGTAATCACTTACTGAAATACGCACTCCTATGTAAAGTACATAATAGCTTTTTCTTAATAGAACCAGTAACAGTGGAAGTAGCCTTTAGAAACCCATTGAAGGTTCCACTTTTGTTGACTGATTTATCGTTGCTTTGGAAATTCCAACCTAAAGATTTCAGTGCAAAGCATAATGGAGCAACAAAAGAGTTGGTGAGTAATTAAGAACGTTTAACTGTTGCCGAACTATTTTTTACAATTTAAACAATTTTATTCTTAAACTTACTCTTCTGTGGCATAATATTGAGATGTTGCTTTTATTAAAAAGGCAACATTTGTCCGCAAATACCATATGAGTTACTACAGTTATTTTCTGCTGTAACTGTTTTTTTTTTTTTTTTGGGAGGGTCTTTTAAAAGCTGGCAAATGCTTTGTCTTTTGATGGTAAATAGTGTAAAAGTTTGAAGCACAGATATTATGTAAAGTATTTCTAATCTCTGATTTTAATAAGATTATTTAAATTACACACCCTTTAAAGTAGTCATTTGAGTCATCTGTTCTCAGATAGTTGAAGCTTGGTATAACAGCAGCAGGGTAAAACTTTTTATGCATTCTTAACCTTTGCATCAATACCTATTTTTTCTTACTAATTAGGTAGGATCACTTAATCTGCATATTTATAATAAATATCAGCTATGTTTATAATCAAGTAATATAACTCTGTTACCAGTTGATTCCTTATGTTACATTTGAGTTAGTTTGCTTAGATTTTCAGTTCTCATTGGCTTTTTTTTAACATAAATTGTTTCATGTAGTCTTTTACGTAACAGGGATATTTTCTGATACCTTTCATTATTATTTTAGTAGCTTCATAATCAACCCTTTGCTATTTAAAATAACCTATACTTATCAATGCACTTTGGATAATGTCTCTTGTTGGCAGAATTTCCTCTTATAATGACCCTTGTTGTTATTCAAAGAGGTCTATCATAAAGTTTGTTATTCTGAAACGTTTAGTACATTTCTTTCATATCAAGTTGACTTCCTGTGAAAAGGTGTTGTTTAGACCACTTTCTTAATCTCTCAACTGACTACTGTTTTTTACATAATACTGTAGTCCCTCAGTATTAATGATTGGTTTATTTCTAGCCAACCATAGAAAGAGGCAACTTCATACTTGTGGTTTGGCTAACTTTCTCCTTCAGAAGACTCCCTTTTATTTGCTGTGTGAGTGGTGCAAGCCTATGTAACCGTCTGTAATTCTGAATGAAATCCATAGTTTAGAGCTGATCATCTCACAACATATGATGAATCTCAGATGCACTGTCATGATGTAAACAACAGAATTGGTCTTTGGAACTCTGTTCATTAATGAAGTGGCTCACTAGGCCTGGAAGGTTGATCAGTGCTTAAAAATTACCTATCTACCTTAAAAGTGGCAATAAAGGGAGTCTGCTGGCGCTGGTCGCATTTCTGCAGGTCCCTGTTTACTGTTTCAAATTGTGCATGCTTTCACTTGTTTGAAGTGCCCTAAAACAACACACTGTTGCAAGAACTAGTATTTGTAGCAATTTAGTTCAGAAGAACATTGTTAATAAGGAAATAAAAACTGCTCTTCAGAATTGCCTTTTTCCCTCCCTTCCTCCCCAGGCATGTGGAAATGACATGATAGGAGCTGAAGTAATAGCTGAGTTCTTAATTAATAGCGAAGAGACAAAAATGGTAAGTAGGTAAATGTTTATATTTACACTTTGAATGCACATTATCCAATATTGTATATTTAGATACAATTTTTTTCTTAGAAATGAAAGACAAGTTTAGATATTCTATCAGACAGAAGGTAGTTCTATTTGGAATAATTTCCTTTTACTGCAGTACTTGGTACATCGGTATTATCCTTTGTTTTTAAGATCTCTAACAGGCTAATTCCAGATTAGAAATTTTTCTTTCTGAAGAGATTTTTTCCCTATGTGCTTGATAATTTCTCTACTGATGTGCAAATGAACTATTCTGCAAAAATGTAAAAACAAAAACCTTGTAGATATTGAGTTAGTTACAATTAACACTTCTGATTTAATTTGTGTAATATACAGTTGCAACTGATACATGATTATATAATGTTGCTATGAATTTTTGTAAAAATGGGACATTGAATGTAAAAAAAATTTTCTTAGTAGCAACAACAACAAAATTTAACATATCTCCACAGGCAAGACTAAAGCTCTTTCCCCATCAAACAGGGGAGCTACATATTCTGGGAGTCGTTTACAATCTTGGCACTATTCAGGGTACTATGATGTTAGATGGGATTGATCCTTCTATTGGATTGCAAGCAGGTAAGGATATGCCATTCCCCTGAGAAATGGCAGAGAATATTAGTTTGTACCACAGAATAGAACTGAAGTCTGCCAGGTAAACAGTGGCAGCTGGTGGTGGTGGAGGGGGCATGTCTAAAGAAAGAAGGAGAGACTGATGAAGTAAGTGGACACAAGTGGCAGACTGAAGCAGCACGTAGAAAGAAGATGGAAGGGAAGTAGAGGTTTACCGTTGCCTAAACTACTTTCCCTTCAGCATTTGTATCCTGGGTTTAAGGAAAAAAAACCAGGAACATTAAAAATCAAATCTAAGTCCAAACAAATTCACATTTACTATGTTTTGCCTTCTTTAGCCTTTGCAACTTTCTTCTTCTCTAGGATCCCTCTCCATTTACTTCTCTTCTAGCTGTCTCCTCCTATCTCAATGCCACTTGAAGTTCTCAGGCATAGTTTGTTGTCAAGCTATAATTTAATCAGATTTGATATGACATTAAAAATTACTTCAGCCAAGGACTTCTTAAATGTTTCAGTTGTCATCCCTTTCTCCTTTCCTAAAACATGCTATTCCTTTAGATACATACTTTGTATAGAGCAGGGGTTGGCAACCTTTCAGAAGTGGTGTGCCGAGTCTTCATTTATTCACTCTAATTTAAGTTTTTGCGTGCCGGTAATATATTTTAACATTTTAGAAGGTCTCTTTCTATAAGTCTATATTATATAACTAAACTATTGTATGTAAAGTAAACAAGGTTTTCAAAATGTTTAAGCGTCCTTTAAAATTAAATTAAAATGCTGATCTTATGCAACCAGCCTGCTCAGCTCGCTGCCAGCCTGGGGTTCTGTTCACCTAGGCCAGCAGCGTGCTGATCAGGGCTGCGGCCGGGACCCCAGACCTGTGGGGGGTGGGGGGTGGTTTCAGGGGTCAGGGCAGAGGGCTAGGGGAGTGGGTTCAGGGCAGAAGGCTGGGTGTGTGTGTGGGGGGGGTTTCAGAGGGCGGGGGGGGGGGGGGGCTGGGCAGAAGGCTGGGGTGCTGGTCTCGTGGGGGTGCTCCCAGCCCCCTGCCCTGAACCATTTACTATTTTTCATTTTATCTTCTTTTTTTAGAAAGCCATGAAATTGAAAGGATTTGAGGCTGAAAAAATAACAAACTATTTTGCTTATGTAACTTCATGGTTTCACACTGCTGGTTGTTATTTCAGGAAAATTGGTCTATAATGGGATGTCTGTACGAGGACGACAGGACTTAGAAATTCAGGGCCCTCGACTTAATAATACAAAAGAAGAAAAAACATCCATTAAATATGGACCAGATCGACGTTTAGATCCTATTATAACTGAGGAAATGCCCTTGTTGGAGGTATTTTATATTCTCCCCTGCTAATAATTTGAGCACATAGTCAAACGTTCAACTATACCTTTATAAAATAGTAATATTTTTTACTTTTGGTTTAACTTTATTTATAGCATTGCCATTTTGGATGTTAGGTCAAAAGATCGCAATCTTATAAAGGGGCAGAATGTAGTGGATTATGTAAGTCATTCTTTTACAGCTGTACCAGTTTTTCCAAGTACCAAGTTTGTATCTAATTCAGGTGAAACCTCAGAGTTACAGGTATCATCACAAATTTGTGCCCCTATTGAAGTATATACACTTCTGCCAGAATTTGAGTTAAGAAAACTTTATTAGTAAAAGCTGCAAGAAAAAAAATATAGCTGGCAAATTAGTATTTTGGTTTTCCTATCTCCAGTTGCAAAACCTAATTTCCCAAAGTAGGGCCTTATTTCGTGAGTATAAAAGGGGTCAGTGAAAGCAAAAATGAAATAGAAAAATTCCTTCATTTGCTAGGGTTCAGTATGATTCCCTTTACTGTTAAATTTAACATTGACAAATTATAATTTTAGTTTATAAATACTGTGGTGGCTTCTTCAAGTTATTTTCAGAAATCTGTTACTATTAAATTGTTAACCTTATAATTTTCCCCCCCAATGCAGGTATTCTTTATAAATTTTCCTACAGGGCTGCTCTGTGGAGAAATCAGAAAAGCATATGTAGAATTTGTGAATGTGAGCAAGTGTCCTCTTACTGCACTGAAGGTTGTATCAAAACATCCAGAATTTTTTACTTTTGGTGGAAATACTGCTGTTCTAACACCACTGAGTCCATCAGCTTCTGAAAACTGTAGTGCTTACAAGACTGTTGTGACAGATTCTACCTCTGTATGCACAGCACTGATGTCATCAGCTTCTTCTGTAAACTTTGGGCTTGGCACAGGAAGTCAGCCAGAGGTGATACATGTCCCACTTCCTGACTCTGTCCTCCTCCCTGGGGCTTCAATCCAGCTGCCAATGTGGTTACATGGACCAGATGAAGAAGGGGTTCATGAAATAAACTTTTTGTTTTACTATGAAAGTATTAAAAAACACTCAAAAATGTGGTAAGTGGTTTTTTTTTTTTTTTTTAAACTAGCTTTTTCAAACTAAATTAGGTCTCACCTAGTAAACTACTTGACACTAAATGTATTTAGATATGTTAAATATTTCTGGACTTAAGTGCCATAAAAATGAAAGTTGTGTCTAATTGGTGCCTAACTTTGCTGTAGTAGTACAGCAAAGCATAAACATCAGTGGCTATTTATATTACACTGAACTCACCGCTTGCTAGATTAACTTTCTGGTTAAATTGTCAAACTGTTTGAAAAATTGCTCAGTCCAAAATATATGCAAAGTACTACACTCATGAATGAAAGAAATCTCCATGAATTCTTAGCAAAGGACAATGTATGTGAAGTCAGGCTTTCGCCATGGAAGCATATTTAGTTCTTGCTTGTGGGTTGTCTTACTTTCCTAGGGGAAGAGAGAGTGGAGTGGTTACTATTGGATACTGTAAAAGGGAAGCTCTGTCCACATCAGAGCCTCAAGGAAGTTTGCTTTCCGCTCAGAACTTGGCCAGCGGTTCCAATTTACTAATTTCTTCAACCAGTATTCAAAAACAAATAGCCTTTTTACAAATACAAAATCAGAGTAATATCTTTTCACTTTCTTACTCAAGATACTTGTTTTGCTACTCATCTGGAGAGAAGGTGGCCTTACCATTTGTGGTGTTTTTCTGTGCCTCTTTTTTTTTTCTTTTTCTTTTTCTTTTTCTTTTTCTTTTTCTTTTTTTTTCTTGTTACCACTTAAAAATAGCAGCTAATCTGGTTGACATAGGCAAGAAGAGATTGTCCACACTGAAAGAACGACAGGAGGCCATGGATGTGGGTTAATTAGGCTGCAGCTTTATTTCCTTTTAATAGCTGGAATATCTGGAAACAAATTGTACAGTGCAGGGAGGAGGGGGTCAGCTCCCTGCTGTTCAAGACGTGGGGGCGCCAAACCCTCTTCTGCAGCTCCTATAAGGAGTGCTTTCCTTTAAATCCTTTTCCAATCCATATTACCTGATAACCGTATCCCTTCCATACAGAGTTCCTGCATTGGATATCCGCCACAAGGAGCCACCAACACAAGGCTTGGCTACCTCACCCCTCCAGATTCCCAAATATCCACAGATTCCTTCTTCCTTTTTTCCCTTATAACAGAGGTGAACCACATTTGCATCCAGTGTCCACTCCCAAGCTTCCAAAGAGTGTACAAGATGCATCAGCTGTTCCCATAACATGCCCTTCCTTATTGTGCCTTGCTCCTATGGTTCTACAGAGAGACTTGTACTGCTTCTTAGGTTCAGTCCCTGTCCTGGCTAATACAGTTTAGGAGTAGCAGCAGATAGGGGCTCAGTCTTTTGTAAACAGCATGGTTCTTTAGAGCCTATCAGTTGATCAAGCGTCAGTTGTCCAGACAGTGGAGGAGTGAGCCTTCAGGAGACACTAGTGAACCAATACATTCACCTAACGTTTTAATTTCTATCTGCTCATAGATCAGAGTGGAGAATTCAGTGTTTTCAATCCCTCTCTTTCTTCTCTGCCTTTCATATTTTTTCCCCTTCATAATTTATGTCCTGGCTGGTTCTTACCGTTTCAAATCAGTGCAGGGATGTTGTTCGTATTTTTGGCTTGCTGCATCTTCTCAACCTCTAGCTTTACCTAGATTAAGTCACTGGGACTTGGGAGATCTGAGTTCTGTTCCTAGTTGTACCAATACTTCCTATGTGACCTTGGACAACTTACTTTAGTCTTTTTCACAGTTCCCCATCTATAAAGTGAGAATATTTCACTATCTCAAATAGATGTTGAGGATGAATTAATGAGGCTAAGCTACTTGTATATTATAGTAATGTAGTCCATAAAAAGCACCTAGCTACAGTTCAGTTTACTTGCCAAATCTAACAGGAGAAGAGCTCTGTGGAGCTCAAAAGTTTGTCTCTCTCACCAACAGAAGTTGGTCTAATAAAAGATATTACCTCTCCTACCTCATCTCTCTCAAGTCTAAAAGAAGTGAGTTCTGTAAACTGGACTGAAGAATTCTTTGTCGTTTAGCTCCCTATAAATACCCATCGTACAGGCTTAAGTGGGTTGTGTCCTTAGAGCATATAATGTAACTGGATACATACCATCAAATACTGATTGACTTTGCTATGAGCATATTATACTTGTGCTCTGTGAATTTCACAGGCCTCCTGTCATCTTCCAAGTGCAGAGTGTCTCAGTAAAAGGTCTGCAGAACTCACTTTCTGGTGTATTGCAGACTACAGGCAGGCCTGCTGACCTTCAGAAAATTGGTCAAGTTGTATCTTTTGTCAGGTACTTGCTAGCTAGAAAAATATAAAGCTCACAATAGTTGACTTGCTCTTGCACTGCTAACAGGATTAGAAATAAGCCTTTTTTGCTGGAGTAAGTAGTTAAGATTCTGGATGCGCACAGGTATCAGATGTTTTTGAATGTGGTGCCATTTTTAGTCTTTTTGGACTAAAATCACACCTTAAAGTGCTCACATACTCAGCATATGTGTGTGTGACTAGCTAATTGAAAGTTGTACTTTTCAAAATACAGACTGATATATGGGAACTTTGGGCACTAAAGGAATTAACATATTTTGTTTATCAGCACTGGAGTACTCACTAGACTAACACTTTTAAAATTTAGGACCAGCAGCCATAAACTTTTTTTTTTTCCCTGCATCTGGCTATATCTGAACCTGTGTCAGTGTTGTGCTTCTTGTATTTACATTCTCCAGAACCTTGAGCCTAATCAGTAGTACAGGTTTTCAAACACCTACAAACATGAGTGTCAATTTGCTATATCTTTTATCTTGGAGTGGGAGATGCTATATAGCAAAGGATGTCTTCTCAGCGGGAGCTGGAAACAAATTTATGGCCTGATTACATCTGCCTTTAAATGTAAAAGCATACTTGTTAATGAGAATTTCTCTGATAAACCAGTATTGCAATTTAGAACCTGATACTTTCTTTCTAGTCATAGAGTATTAAGACACACTGCAGTTATTTGTACCAGCCGATCTTTGAATGTTCGAGCTACTGTCTGCAGAAGTAATGCCCTTGAGGATGAAGGCAAAGGGGACAATATGCTGGTGTTTGTGGATGTGGAAAATATCAATACTGTAAGTTTGTTTAGAAAAGGGGATTTTATTTTGTCTTTATACTCTTTTACCAGGGTTTACTCTCATGGCTGCATGTCTGGATGTGTTTCTGTAAGCATATGCTTGGTCTGCTGATAGGCAAGTTTCTCTTTAATGTGCTAATTAAGACAAACTATTTTGCAAAACAGATTTATATAAACATGAAGTTCTAAGTGAAACTTGCTCAATAAAATGCATTGAAACAATTTAGAACTCTTCAACTACAAGTGGAATTTCACTAAATCAAAGTTCAGTGTAGACAAGTTCCACTGTAATTCCTCCCTCCTCCCAAATATATTTTAGGAACTATGATAGGTGTCAGTTTTTATTTGACTTGAAAGGGTATGCATTGTAAGTTACATTTGAAGCATTCTTGATGCCCATCCAGTTGCAAAGCATGGACAACTAGCTCTGAATGGCATATCTAAGCCTTTCATTCTATTACACAAGTTTTGTTGCTAGCTGCAAATGAAAAAATGATTCAGTTCAACATTATGAACTTGGAATCTGAGTCTTTGACTCTTGCTTACACCTACTAGCCAAACTCTCAACCTGGTAGGTCCTCCTAATTGAAGTAATGGGTGCTGCTGGTGCAGTAGCTTGGCATGATCTGTAGCGCTGGTTCGCAATCTTTCCACACTACACCCAAAAACCCAAATATACTTGTTACAAGCCAAGGTTTAGAGATTGGATCATAAGAAATGACAGATGGGTTTTTTGTGTGAGGCTCTGTCATTGTAGGTCTGTTATATGGGCACTTGTAAGCGTGCGTCTCACTGAACGTATTGCATTTAACTCTTGTTCATTGTAACACTGTTTCTGGTGCTGTGCTGGTATTAGTTATAAAGAGGGAGGGGGGCAGCAGGTAGGAGTCCGGGATAGCTGCTCTTTTGCTTTGTACCCTTACTAGGTCCTAGGGCTTGCAGAATTTTGCTGCTTTATTGCCCCTCAACCAGCTGAGTACAACCCAGGGTATGAACCAATTGCAGGTTGCATTCTATTCATTCTGAAATCCTGATCTTAGGAGTCAATAAGTGCCTTTTTTGCTTCATTTTTGTTAAAGATGTTCTACCACCAAGATATAAACTATTGTAAACTAATATACAATATAGTGTTTAAATTCTAACAATAGGGGCGGGGGAGGAGGGAGGGACTTATTACTTTGAGGCCAGCTGTGTAATCTGGCAGAGTTCTTCTAGTAATGTGGTGTCACCAGTGTAGCCATGATTGGCTGCCACAGCAGAGCTGGCTGGAAGACCAGATCAAAGAAAAATGTTCAGTAGTTCTCTAACCTGGCTGTCGGAGGGAATTCCACACGTAATGCTAAATTTAATGAGCTTTTCACTATTATCTTTGGCTCATTAAACCTATTGATATTGTAGCTTGAATATTTCTTAATTTGTAATAATATTTGGGTAGCACTAGAAATTGATACTGGTAGGTAACTTTTTAAAAACAGATTAAACGTTTATCACAACATTCCTTTGAAGGAGAGAGAGATTTTTATGCTGATAAAGTGAGGCAGAAAGGTTAAATGACTTGTCTAAAGCTTTTTAAGGAGTTTGTCAGGTACAACTAGAAACCAGGCTCCTGGCTTCCATTTCTGAGTTCAGACCACTAGACCATTCCATTTCACTAGAAATTATTGGCATAGCCTATAGTGGAATTATGCATATTTAGGAGTTTCCATGCTCCAGAATGGTGAAGCTACCATGTCTGCACTAAACAGCAGAATAATATAACTGAATCCTTACTGATGATTTTTTAAACAGTTGGGTGCTAGTTGAATCACTGAACTGGGTCAATATTTCAGTGGTTCTCAAACTTTTGTACTGGTGACCCCTTTCACATAGCAAGCCTCTGAGTGCGACTCCCCCCCAATAAATTAAAAACACTTTTTTATATATTTATCACCATTATAAATGCTGGAGGCAAAGTGGGGCTTGGGGTGGAGGCTGACAGGTCGCAACCCCCCATGTAATAACCTCGCGACCCCCTGAGGGGTCCTGACCCCCAATTTGAGTACCCCTGCAATAATTCATATGCACAGGCACATTGTGTTGCTGTTCTTTTGGCTGGTTTTTAAAGTTAATGTTTTTTGAGCAGTTGTCAATGAAGGGATGTGTGAGGCAGGAATTCTGACTTCAGTAGGCTTCCACAGCCTCAGATAAAACATTTTAAATTAGTGTTTTAGATGCAACTGAATTGTGCAGAATGTTTTTATCATTCTTGGAAATGTTAAGAAAAACAGGAGTTGTTAGGCAACATTAAGTCTTAACGTTGATTTAAAACATAGGTTTTGTGCTTCTGGCCCACGTGATGTGGAATATTTACCTAAGTAATTTTAGACATAATGATATGGATAACGTCAGAGTACGTCCAGACTACCCGCCGAATCGGCGGGTAGTAATCGATACATCGGGGATCGATATATCACGTCTCGTCTAGTCGCGATACATCGGGGATCGATATATCACGTCTCGTCTAGACGCGATACATCGGGGATCGATATATCACGTCTCGTCTAGATGCGATATATTGATCCCCGAACGCGCTCCTGTCGACTCCGGAACTCCACCAGGGCAAGCGGCGGTAGCGGAGTCGATGGGGGAGCCGCTGCTGTCGATCCCGCGCCGTGAGGACCCGAGGTAAGTCGAAATAAGATACGTTGACTTCAGCTACGCTATTCCCGTAGCTGAAGTTGCGTATCTTACATTGACACCTCCCTCCGACCAGCCCAAAGTGTCCTAGTGGATAGAAAACTGGACTGAGAATCAGAAGGCCTGGGTTCTATTCAAACTCTGCTGCTGTCCTGCTGTGTGACACTTCACCTCTCCATGCCTCTGTTTCTCTTCCATTCTTTCTCTTGACTGATTATTTAATTTCAAGGCTCGTCAGGGCAGGGACTTTCTTGTTGTCTTTGTACAATGCCTAGCACAAAGGGACTCCAATCTATTGTGGCCTCTGGATATACCTGTATTACAAATAGTATGGATTAGGGCTTTCCCAAAGATGCCAGATCTCATAGATTTTGAAATAGGGCTCTTCATTTCTAGAATAAATATTTGCTCCTTTTGTCAGTTGGTTTAGATTGGCATAATTAACTTTCTCATTCTTATTTAGAGTGAAGCTGGTGTTAAAGAATTTCATATAGTACAAGTATCAAGTAACAGCAAACACTGGAAGTTACAGAAAGCTGTAAATCTCTCTGAAGACAAAGGTTTGTATTTTTATCAGGTATAAGTTAGTCACTGTTCTGTTTTGCCAAAGAACAGTTAATCTTATGCGAGAAGTCATCAAATTATACTGTTTAAATCTACTTATGTTTTCTCTTGTCTTTTTTTTTTTTTTTAATTTCTTGTAATTCTGTTTTTTACCATTTCAGAAACTAATTTGTCATTATCATTAAAAGACATTTCTGCTCTACCAATAAACTAAAAATCCATCTGTATACTGAGAGTTCAACCTAACTGTTTGGAGTGGAGTTTACTTCTCAGGTTCTGCCGATTTCCATCGCCTTGCTTCCTCTGTTATATTACATCTGTTTATTTTTATAGCGGTAGAATGATACTTAACTTATTCGGTTATCTATTTCCTTTATGTATTTTTAATTTAATCTACTTCAGTTTACACAAATTTACTTTATCCATACCTGTAAAATTGGCTCTTTGCTTATTTGAACATGAGTCCAAACACCTGGGCTTCCTGTTGCACTAGAATTGATGGCCAGACCAGTCAGACACTAGTATGCTGTAATTGTTTCCTTTCCCATACCTGCTCCTTCTTTCTCTACTCCAACACGTTCTACTCCAAGTTAGAAATAATTGGAGGTGCAAATGGAAGTCTTTCATTCACTGACTCCTATTATTATCTGTATACCAGATAATTATAGCAAGATGGATTCTTTGTATCTATTAGCAAATAAGATATAGAATCCAAGTTAAGTAAATTCTATCATAGTCAGTTTTTGAGACAAGTAACTTGTACAATATTGGTTCATGAGCAGTTTCTAAATACTTAGTTTCCTATGTGCATCAGGTTTACAGATTGCAAAGACTGGTTTTGGGAGGTCCTCAGGTGCTACAGTGGAGGAGACCATATAATTATCTAGGTCAATGGGAAATACATTTTTTTCAACATCTTTCTTTCAGATTATAAGCTTGCCAGTAGAGAGAGAGGAAAGCTATGCTTTAAAGCAGTCAGATGCAAAAACTCTGGAGGTAGGTTCACTTAACTTTATTGGACATTGGGTTTGGGTGGGATTTTCAAGAGTGTTTGTGACCTCCGTGAAACTGAAGTGCTCATGTTGTGACTTTGCATGCAGATGAAGTGACACTTCCTCTCTTTCTGTCCTTTAGAAAATTACACATTTGCAGACATTGTCTTTGGAAATGAGCAGGTATGTAAATTGATACAACTTAATACTTTGTCAATATTCTTTCAATGTTAAATACCTGTCTTGTGCATATGACCCAATCAAAGCCTTTATTGCCCAAGAAATACCTCCGTATGTGGCATACAATTATCTTCATGTTTGTGCTAGTATTTTAAAAACACACATTCTTGTACCCTGAAGTCTTTCTCCTTGCTTCCTCAGTGTACATAGACGTAATAAACAATATGGACATAGACAATATGGGAGCATGATCCAATGGATAGGGTCGTGGCTAATCTGGAGACCTAAGTTCTATTTCTGGCCCTGCCACTGCTTTGTGGCACTGAGCAGTTCACTTCACCTCTTTCCCTTCCTACCCTTTCAGTTTTTTCTGTTTAGATCATAAGCAGTTCAGTACCTAGGATAGGGAAAACCTAATCTGTTGTGGCCTCTAGATGTTACAGTAATAGAAATAATAAAAATAACTCTTAAATTTGTCGATGGTTTTTAACATTTGTTCTGCTCTCACATGTTACTGTAAAAAGTATATGGGTGAGGGGAGGAGGGGTTCCATGAGTGTCTCAGTGAATTCCAGATATGCTTGTTGTGTTGCAAGTAGACCTCTTCCCTAATTGCCAGTCCTACAAACCCCACCTATCACCAAAAAGTCATTTGTCTTGTGCATAATCACTACTAATAAAGACTTCACAGTCAGACATACCTGTGGAACTTTTTGTTTTCAATGGGATTGTGTAGGTATATTTGGAAGAATCCATATTCTTTCATAGCCATTGAATGCTTATAACAGAGGGGACAGTGGGGGGGTGGGTGGGAACTGTGACTGAAGTAGCCCGCTGACTCTGAATGCAAATGGAGAGTAGGCCTGTTGAGTTAAAGATGCTAGTTTTATGTACACCTCTACCCCGATATAATGCGACCCGATATAACGCGGTAAAGCAGCGCTCTGGGGGGTGGGGCTGCGCACTCCGGCGGATCAAAGCAAGTTCGATATAATGCGGTAAGATTTTTTTTGGCTCCTGAGGACAGCGTTATATTGGGGTAGAGGTGTATTTACAATATGGTATTGTCCGGATGATGATTGGGGCTTGCTATGTTAGGTGCAGTATAGAGAAGGTAATGTCTGTCTTCAAAATCACTTTTCAGCATAGACTTTTGCTTCAAATGTGACCACTATAACTAAATTTTTAAACTGTTGTGCCTTCTTACATTTTTTTTTTTACTAGCTTGTATACCTGACACTTCCCCAAGTTGAGATTTCACTGATATTGCTTGTTAGATGCAAAAATACCCTGTGTGTGTGTGTGTGTGTGTGTGTGTGTGTGTGTGTGTGTAACATTGGTTTAATCTTGCTTTAAATGCACAGTATATCTGACCCTTTCTGTGTCTGATTTTACTGAGCTAAGAGTATATCTGATGCCTTCAGTCAAATTGACCATAGACAAGCCTAATTTGCTCCCACTGAAGTTGGTGGAGGTCTTGATGATGACTTCAGTAGAAACAAGATTGAACACTGATACAAAGCTTTAGAGTATGTGTCAAAACCAATAACAGTTCATACTGAGACTTCATAGAGCAGTTAATATTTGCATGTGTATATAAAATAAGATTTGTTTGACTTTGTATGTAGTTGAAAGGCAGCACATTCTATAGAAGTAACTGTAAATGTGACTTTGAAACTTCAAGATGAGAGCACTGGTAGACATAAAGTTGTTCTTTTGTAATTTCATATGATCACCAGTGGGGAAACTCATAAAGTGCCTTTGCTTTTTTTCTTTACTTACACATTATAATTCCAGTTAGTAATTTTCTCTGCCCATCAGATAACACCCAGCTTAATCTGTATCACCTGACCTGAAGTAGCACTTTCTCTTGGTGTCTGCTAATTTAGTAGATCATCTTTGATTGCATCTGAACACAGATGAAACAAGATGCTGATTCTGATCTTGAAATAAGGGTTAGTCAGTTTCTCTTAGATATCAGTTATTCTGCTATAATAAGTAAAAATTAAGTTAACATTTAGTCAGTTCTCAATGTATAGATGAGCATTCATGGAAGACAAGCACATGCACTTAAATTGTTGGTTTTTAGAAATTTGGCAAACTAATGCTACTAGCCCAGGT